AACGCATCATCCATCCGCCTTCTCCCCACCTCTCCGCTCCCTTGCCTTAAAGAGGCAGGACTAGCCAAGCAGGCGCCAAGCATCCTTCCTTTGCAGCCCAGGAAGACACAGGCAGAGGCCGGGCTCCTCTACATAGTTTGGTACCACTTGGGCTCAATGCTGTGGAACCCTAGTAGTTGTAGTTGGAAGAGAGTGCTTCATAGAATCACAGAATCTTAGAGTTGGAAGAGACTCGTAGACCCTCTAGCCCAACCCCATTTTGCCAAGAAGCAGGAAAATCTAGGTTGTTGTGAGTTTTCCGGGCTGTCTGGCCGTGTTCCAGAAGCATTCTCTCCTGACATTTTGCCTGCATCTATGGCAGGCATCCTCAGGGGTTGTGAGGTCTGTTGGAAACAGATCACAGATATATAACCCTTTTTTCCAAGTTTCCAACAGACCTCACAACCTCTGAGAATGCCCGCCATAGATGCAGGCAAACCGTCAGAAGAGAATGCTTTTGGAACATGGCCAGACAGCCCGGAAAACTCAGAACAACCCAGTAATTCCAGCCACGAAAGCCTTCGACAATAACGTTGCATTCAAACCACCATTCGGCATCTGTTTCAAAGCCTCCAAAGAAAGAGCCTCCACCACACTATAAGGCAGAGAGTTACACTGCTGAACAGCTCTCACAGTGAGGAAGTTCTTCCTCGTGTTCAAGTGGAATCTCCTTTCTTTCCTGTAGTTTGAAGTCTCCAGGGCAGCAGAAAACAAGCCTGCTCCCTCTTCCCTAGGACTTCCCCTCACCTCTTGATCCCTGGCCCTATGATGTCTCCTCTCCGCCTTCTCTTCTCAGGCTCAACATGCCCAGCTTTTCCAGCTCCTCCACATAGGGATTGTTCTCCAGACCTTTGATCTTTGAGTCACCCTCCTCTGGACACATTCCAGCTTAGTCAACATCTTCCTTCAATTGGGTGCCCAGAACTAGAAACACAACATGATGCCAGGTAAAGTGGTCTGACCAGGGCAGAAGAGAACATGGGTCGCATGACTTCCATGGATCTAGGCAGTGGGCTCCTGGTTGTTCTAGGTTTTTTGGGCTGTATGACCATATTCTAGAAGCATTCTCTCCTGACATTTTGCCTACATCTGTGGCAGGCATCCTTAGAGGTTGTGAGGTCTGTTGGAAACTAGGAAAAATGGTTTCTATATCTGTGGAAACTCCAGGGTGGGAGAAAGAACTATTGTCTATTGGAACTAGGTGTGAAACACAACCTACAAACTATCTACAGACCCACTAAGAAAATCCAATAAATGCTATGTTCAGCAAAGGACAAGAGGGATCCGCTCACTTCTTCAGGAATCTACTGTATACCATGCAGCTATGGACATGTCTTCATAGGGACCACCAAACGCAAAAGCATTGCCCAAACAGGAATCAAGGAACATCTCCAGTATACATTTTTTGGATCTTATTATTGTTTTCCCGAATGGGGAGATGTCTGGGGACCCAGTTCTCACCAACTGCACTGGTATTTACATAATCCCATCATCATCATCATCATCATCATCACAGCAAGATGAGTCCACAGCAGACACTCTGCTGGCTGTTGAATTGGATCACACGTCGGACCCTTCCCAAGTGTCTAGGACTGTGTGATGTATCAATGAATAATGTGTGCAGATCCCAGTAAGACAGTCTTCTGCAGCTGGCAGATGGTAATCTTGTCAACGCCAATTGTGTTTAAGTGCAGGCCAAGGTCTTTAGGCACTGCACCCAGTGTGCCGATCACCACTGGGACCACCTTTACTGGTTTGTGCCAGAGTCTTTGCAGTTCAATTTTTAAATCCTCATATCGTGTCAGCTTTTCCAGTTGTTTCTCTTCAATCCTGCTGTCACCTGGGATTGCAACATCGACAATCCATACTTTGTTTTTTACACGATTGTGAGGTCAGGAGTATTATGCTCCAAAACTCTGTCTGTCTGAATCCGGAAGTCCCAGAGTAGCTTGACGTGTTCATTCTCTGTAATACTCTGCCACCTGAAGTCCGTGCCTTGCGGGACTTAACAGCTTTCTGCAGGGCATGTAAGACATATCTGTTTCGACCGGACTTTGATCTCTGATATTGCTGTTTTTAAATTGTTTTAAATTGTTTTTAAATTGTGTTCGATTTTAGCCTGTTCTTGTAAGCCGCTCCGAGCCCCAGGGGAGTGGCGCATATAAGTTCGAATAATAAATAAATAAATAAATATTTGCTTGAGATAGTGCTTGCAGTTCTGGAGGGACTCTTATTTTTTGCATCTCATAGACTTAGCATGGGGATTTGGTTAACCAGTTAAAATTCATGAGTAAACCAGGTTTTTAAAAAAATTGAAATATTTCGGGGGGGGGGGTTGAACCCCTAAAAAAAAACCCCTCGCTACAGGCCTGAAGTTGTGTGTGTGTGTGTGTGTTGAATGCTCTCATTAAGGAGGCCAGACTTGGTGGAGGTGGTTGACAAGGGTGGAGCTGCAGGCTATTGAAGGCTGCTCTGCCCCCTGCTGTGCTCTTTGCTTCAGCGTGAGCTAGGAGGCAGGTTTCAACCCCCCCCGTGAAATTTTCAACCCCCCCCCCCAAAAATTTCAACTTCTCCCGAATTTTTTTTCTGGCTACGGCCCTTCATCTGAGCAACGGTGTTGTGCCTCTGCTCGTAGTCTGTCTTCGCGATCTTCTTGCAGCAGGTGATGATGGGATCGATTGTTTCATTTGCTTTCTTGCAGAGTCTACACTTGGGATCTGTCGTCAACTTTTCAGTTCTGGATGATGATGATTATGATGATTATACTTTATTCATATTCCGCTCTATCTCCCCAAGGGGACTCAGCATGGAATACAGTACACATATACGGCAAACATTCAATGCTTGTCATTCAATTGACAAAGACAAACAGTACATAAACAGTAGATAGGCTTTCCCCATCTTTTCCCATCTCTGGCATCAGGCTGTGCTTGACTCTGGCCACGGGGGGGGGGGGGGGGGTTGCTGTTGCTCTATCTTCCAAGCCAAGGAGCTTTGTCATCCATAGACATCCTCCTGGTCGAATTGCCAGCATGTCCTTATTGACGCCTCTTATTATCTCCCCACTTAAAGGGGTACCTATTTGTCTACTCACATTTCATCATTCTTCAATCCACACTCATGTTGTTTCCAGCATTCCAGTTGCGAACACCATGGGGTGGGTGCGACACCCTGGAGACCTCCCCGCCCTAAGAACTGCCTCCACCTGCTGATAGGAGGCTCCAGGGCTTCCCCACCTGGCTGGGAGGAGATCCCTGGCAGCATCATCACCGCCTCCACTAATCAGTGGAAGAGCCAGCTAAGCCCACCCCTCAACCAATCAGGGTCCAGGAAAATAGCAAACAGGTTATCGGTGCCAGCCAGGAGCCAACAGTGGCACAATAGGTTAAGCCCTTGTACTGGCAGGACTGAAGATCGACAGGTCGGAGGTTCGAATCCAGGGAGAGCGCAGATGAGCTCCCTCTGTCAGCTCCAGCTCCCCATGTGGGGACATGAGAGAAGTCTCCTCCAAGGATGGGAAAACATCAAAACATCCAGGCATCCCCTGGACAACGTCCTTGCAGACAGCCAGAAGTGACTTGCAGTTTCTCAAGTCGCTCCTGACATTTAAAAAAAAGTACCAATCAATCAGGAGAATGGGAGGGAATTTCAAACCACAGCAATGTTAATGCATGTGTAAAAAAATGACTGCATTTCCCATATGCTTGTACACTTGTACATTTTGAGCCCTGCTGTACAGGCATCCCTTCTACAGGTAGAATAAAGCTTCTGCTATTTGGGTTGTTGTAGGTTTTTTCGGGCTATATGGCCATGTTCTAGAGGCATTCTCTCCTGATGTTTTGCCTGCATCTATGGCAAGCATCCTCAGAGGTAGTGAGGTCTGTTGGAACTAGGAAAATGGGTTTATATATCTGAGGAATGACCAGGGTGGGACAAAGAACTCTTGTCTGCTGGAGTTAGGTGTGGCACGAATACTCAAATGTGTGAACACTGGTGGAGTTTGGGGTGAATGTTTCAGCTGACCACCTTGATTAGCATTTGATGGCCTGGCAGTGCCTGGGGCAATCTTTTGATGAGAGGTGATTAGATGTCCCTGATTGTTTCCGCTCTGTTGTTTTGCTGTTGTAATTTTAGAGTTTTTTTAATACCAGTAGCTAGATTGTGTTCATTTTCATGGTTTCCTCCTTTCTGTTGAAATTGTCCACATGCTTCTTGTGGATTTCAATGGCTTCTCTGTGTAGCCTGGCATGGTGGTTGTGAGAGTGGTCCAGCATTTCTATGTTCTCAAATAATCTGCTGTGTCCAGGTTGGTTCATTGGGTGCTCTGCTATGGCTGACTTCTCTGGTTGAAGTAGTCTACAGTGCCTTTCATGTTCCCCGAGTCGTGTTTGGGCAATGCTGCTGCGTTTGGTGGTCCCTATGGAGACTTGTCCACAGCTGCATGGTACACGGTAGACTCCTGCAGAAGTGAGAGGATCCCTCTTGTTCTTTGCTGAACGTAGCATTTGTTGGATTTTCTTGGTGGGTCTGTAGATAGTTTGTATGTTGTGTTTCCTCATCAGCTTCCCTATGCGATCAGTGGTTCCCTTGATGTATGCAATTTGCCTTCAAACCGATGAGAGTCTGATTTCTGTTCTGGAACAGTTAACGCTTAACGAAACTCGCCAGGCAGCCCTTGGTATCCGCAGGTCTCGGAAAACTGAATTTTTCGGCATCAATTGCTGCGACCCCATCCCACCAAGCCATGGTAGTTCAAAGAGCCATCAAACTGTATCCATTCCATAGTGTAAATGCACTCAAAGTGGTGTCCATCTGACCTAAGAAGGCAAGGGGAAGGCAAAAGAACTGCCGGTCAGCTTTCACTCTGTTTCCACAAGGGGCAATGTGCTGCTGCTTTTGTGCAGAAGTCCTTTATTTTCGTAATAATACGTTCAACTTCAAATAGCAAGGACAGACTTTGCTACAGTTGGATGTGGAATTGCGAAACGAGGCATGGCAGCAGTTGCGGATGTCCTCACTCTCGTCTTGGGTACTTTGGGACTGGCGCTGCTCATCCTGTCCGCCGGGTCCGACTGCTGGAGGGTAAGGAGTGTTCTGGTGGACCTGGGGATGGTGGGAGTTTGAGTTGGAAAAGGTGCAAAAACCACAGGATAGATTTGAATTACCTTGGCTCAACACTCAGGAATCCTGGGAGTTGTCGCTTGCACTCTTTGGCTGTCAAGGCTGAAGACCTTGGAAAACTACATCTCTCAGGAAGTTATAGCATTAGACTAGGGCAGTTCAAGTGGGACCAAACTGCATTATTTCTACGGTGTAGATGCACCCTCCCTTGTCTCCCATTATTATTCAACTTACTCTCCCTTGTATTGTCGAAGGCTTTCATGGTCGGAATCACCGGGTTGTTGTGAGTTTTCCAGGCTGTATGTTACAGAAGCATTCTCTCCTGATATTTCACCCACATCTATGGCAGGTATCTTCAGAGGCTGTGAGGTCTGTTGGAAACTAGACAAGTGAGGTTTATATATCTGTGGAATAATGTCCAGGGTGGGAGAAAGAACTCTTTCTGTTTGAGATAGGTGTGAATGTTTCAATTGGCCAGCTTGATTAGCATTTAATGACCTTGCAGTTTCAAGGTCTGGCTTCTTACCATCTGGGGGAATCCTTTGTTGGGAGTTGATTAGCTGGCCCTGATTGTTTCTTGTCTGGAATTCCCTTGTAATCATAACAGTAAATAAAGAACAACACTCAAAAACAGGGGAATTCCAGACAAGAAACAATCACCTCCCAACAAAGGATTCCCTCGGGCAGTAAGAAGCCAGACCATGAAACTGCTAATCAAGGGGGCCAATTGAAACATTCACACCTGCCTCAGACAAGAGTTCTTTCTCCCACCCTGGACATTCCACAGATGTATAAACCTCACTTGCCTAGTTTCCAACAGACCTCACAATCTCCTGCCAGAGATGCAGGGAAAACGTCAGAAGAGAGTGCTTCGAGACCATGGCTATACAGCCCGGAAAACTCAAAACAACCCAGTTATTCGTCCATCCTTTTTCTCTGCAAGGAGCAGGGATCCGGTTGCCAAGCGGTGGAAACTGCACTCAGTGGCATTTCTTATGTTTTGGGGAAAAGGTCAGCCTTGCTTCTCAGGGACCTCCGACTGCGAGAGATCGCTTTACTAATCTGGAAAGCATGAGCCATTCTTTGTCGTTCCCCAGTGCAATTCTGTGGTATAGTAGTCATTCATTTCTATAGGGTTCACTATTTAGCATTTCCACAGAAAGTGCAGAGATGTATCTGCTGTGGATATTTCGTAGTGCATTAGAGAACGTCTGATGCTCCTTATCTCTGCGATTACCCAAAGCCGACCTTTCAAATGTTAAAAACATCAAATATTTCATAAATATAAATATTTATTCATTAATCTTGTCAGAAGATTGAGGGTACAGTTAAAATGTATTTAAAACACAAACAAAGTTAAGCACTTGGCATTATGCTAAATGCTCTTTGACCACAAGCTGGCCACTTGGGGTGCCTCTGGTGTTGTCTCAAGAAGGTCCTCCATTGTGCATGTAGCAGGGCTCAGGTTGCATTGTAGTAGGTGGTCTGTGGTTTGCTCTTCACCACACTCGCATGTCGTGGACTCTACTTTGTGGTCCCATTTTTTAAGGTTGGCTCTGCATCTCGTGGTGCCAGAGCACAGTCTGTTCAGCACCTTCCAAATCACCTAGCCTTCTATGTGCCCAGGAGGGAGTTTCTCATTCAGTCTCAGCCACTAATTGAGTTTCCAGGCTTTAGCCTGCCACTATTGAACTCTTGTTTGCTGAGGTGTTCGTGTGAGTATCTTTGTAGATCTTAGGAAGCTATTTCTTAATTTAAGGCATTGGTTTGCTGGCTGATATTGAAATGGCAGGGAGAAAGTTTGAGGAAAAGAGACAAAGAGAGTTCCTGAGGTCTGAAAAAGCGTGGTTTTATTTCCAGCTGGGACCCTGGAGTGGAGCTGTGTCCAAAAGCAACCAGAGTGCCTGTTAAAGGTGTTGACCTTGCCTTTTATAACTCTTCAAATGCAGGCAAACAAAGAAACATGCTTCTACATACATTGACATCATTCTCTGCCTCACTTTAGCATCATAGGAATATCAAATTCTATCTTCCAACATACAAAAGGCATGTCTCTGTATTTCTTTCTAAAGAGCAGCATACAGCTTATAACTTACATTCATCAATCAAGGGGCCTACTTTGACCTGTCATGAGGGACAGATAGGCTCCTTACTTAGAAGGAAGACGCTGGGCTCTGTTGAACCAGTCTCTCTCTCTCTGGAATATTCAGATAACATGTCCCCCTCTTCTCCCCCTTTCAGCATTCCTTCTCTGTTCTGCTGGCTTAAACAGAGAGAACTTACACAGAGAGAACTTGATTTTTCTATACATTTCATTCCTTGTAAAGTACATACAATTTATACATAAATAAATATCTATATTTCCAATATCTCCCCATCAATATCCAAACAGTGGATGGGCCGGAGATGTCGATGCCTTGATCCCTTCATTGCTAGCTACTACTTCCTGGCGGATGTCAGGTGGCTAAACTGTATAATAAGCCAAACCAAACTAGCAATAGGAAAAAAACAGTCCCAAGGTAATAATCCAAACAATCCAAATCTGTTCCATAAAACAAGGTACAGGAAGACCAAAATCAAACATGAGCATAAATCCAGAAAACAAGAATCAAAATATGAACATGAATCCAAAAGCAAGACTACAGAAACTTCTTAAAACATATTGTGTCCAATTCTGGGCACCACAATTGAAGAAAGATATTGACAAGCTGAAATGGGTCCAGAGGAGGGCGACTAAAATGACCAGGGGTCTGGAGAACAAGCCCTATGAGGAGCAGCTTAAAGAGCTGGGTATGTTTAGCCTGAAGAGAAGGCTGAGAAGAGACTTGAGGAGGACCGTGTATAAATATGTGAAGGGAAGTCATAGAGAGGAGGGAGAAAGCTTGTTTTCTGCTGCCCTGGAGACTAGGATGCAATGGAACAATGGCTTCAAACTACAAAAAAGGAGATTCCACCTGAACATTAAGAAGAACTTTCTGACTGTGAGAGATGTTGTTCAGCAGTGGAACTCTCTGCCCCGGAGCGTGGTGGAGGCTCCTTCTTTGGAAGCTTTTAAGCACAGGCTGAATGGCCATCTGTTGGGGGTGCTTTGAATGGAATTTTCCTGCTTCTTGGCAGGGAGTTGGACTGGATGACCCATAAGGTCTCTTCCAACTCTATGATTCTATGATTATATGAATCCAAACTCCCAGGATCTCAGGCTCAAAATATGAACTGGAAACAAGGTTTGAGATCCTCACTGCTTTGCAGCGTTGCCTGATCTGAATTCTCAATGAAACAACTCTCTGATTTGAGGTCCACAAAACATGAAGTCATGCCTGTGACTTTGACTGCCTTGCCTGTGAGATTTGTTACGCTGCTGTTTCTCACGGAGTCTCTATGACTTTTTTAATTTGCTTGCTTCTTCCCTAAGATGAAACCTGAGATTTCTGCTGATCACAGGTATGTTTTCCAGTGAACGTTCTCGTCCATCCAACTCCTTATCCTTATCTGGGGTTGCTATGAGACATGTAGATGAAAGGTTTTCACCAGCCATTGGATCTCCCTGTCTGCTGGACTCAGAGGCAGTTTCACTTTCAATCCCATTCTTGCAAACTGGATCTAAACTCCCCTCAATTCCCTAATTCCCCTCATTGAAAAGCCTACCCACTCTCCCACGCCCTGGAATAACAATCTCCTCATCGTTATCAGATGGATGAACCACAACAGTAGCTCCTGCCCTTCAGCCCAGCTCCTGCCAAACTAGCGGATCGAAAATAGCAATTGTGAGTAGATAAATAGGTACCGCTTTAAAAGTGGAGGGGTATTTAGGCGCCCATAAGGAAAATGCCAGAGAAATGCTGGCAATTCGATCAAGGGGGAAAGTTTATGAAGAAAAGCAAGGAAGATGGAGCAACGGCACAGCCTCCAAGATGCTGAAGAAGGGAAAAGCCTATTGTAGCGAGGGAGAGAGAGATTTTCCTCTTTAAAAACCTCTTTGCTGCCTTATACTGATTCAGTTTCTTCTTTTATATTGGCTGGGACTTTCTGTGTACTGTTAAAGCTTTGTACTTTATATCACAGGCAATGAAACACTCTTGAGTATAACAAAGTAACACAGTTTAATGATAACTTCTGGCTCCAACGCTTTTAATTACATTTGTGTTTTGTTGCAATCTTGAGGCGTACAGTCGGTATCATTTACTTGGTTAACTTTCCTGAATAAACTATCAATGTTTCACATTCACAAACATGTTACTTGCTTTACACACTCTTGGCTGAATTATATTTTGAACTAAGGCAAAACTAGCCTTCTTTATGTTCCTTAAAACTCGAGCTCTATTTAACGAACTGCTTCTCTATATCAGAAGTCTTTAACACATCTTCATAACTGCTTATTTCTATCAGACACTCAAAAAACCAACTCTCCTCTTCACACACAGATTCCTAACTGTCATTTTCAAGCTCCCACACTAACTGCCTCTTTCAGACCCTTGGCTCTTTCAGACCCTTTGGAATGTTCAGCTCTGCTCTCCCCAACAGTCATTTTGGCCTAACAGCCTTTTCAAATCCTGGGCCTACATTAATCTGCATATGATCAATCGGCTTCCCATATGCAAATGAATCCTATCTCTGTTGTTGCTACCCTGTCTGTGCCTATTCTTCCCTATCTGCCATATGTAAACATAGAGCTATACACCAAAACTTTAACATAGAGTAGCAATTTCACTACACCTATATATACCTCTATTTATATACAAGTTGTCTATCTTGTCATTGTATAATCAGCATTGAATGTTTGCCGTATATGTGATCGGTGATCTGCTCTTCCTTTCTTACTTTCCTCCAGCAAGATGCCAAGGATCCCCTCTCTTCAGTGGGCCTGAGTGTCCGGTGCCGCGGCTTGTGGAGCGAGTGCATCTTCGATAATGTGGCCAACCTCTGGACCTGCGACATTCCCATTTCCTATCTCAGCAAACATCCAGGTAAGAGGCAGTAAATCAATCCCGACGGAAGGGATTGTGATGGTGGGCAGTTGATGATTATAGTCCATTCCAGGGGTGCATCTACATTGCAGAGTCAATGTTTAGGTGGGACAACGACCCTCTTTGTGACAGGAGGCAAACTGGATGATGTATACAGAGAACTGGACAGGGGGAGTGTGTCCCTATTGGTTCTCTTGGACCTCTCAGCAGCATTTGATACTGAAGACCACAGTATTCTTCTGAGACACCTCATAGGAATAGGGCTTGGAAGCACTGTTTTGCAATGGTTCAGGCCCTTCCTGGAGGGCCGTTCCCAGAAGGTGTTGTTGGGTCAGCCCTGCAACCATTGTCTTGTGGGGTCTCGCAGGGTTCAGTACCGCCCCCCCATGTTGTTTAACATCTACATAAAATCACTGGGGGAGATCATCCGGAGTTTTGGAGTTCAATGCCATATAAGTGTGGATCTCGTTTTCCCTATGATCCTCTGGAGTGTGATTCTCTCCTCTCTCTCCAGGCGTCCTTGTGGTCACTCGGGTCTTGATGATCCTCTCCGGCTTTATTACTCTTTTTGCTCTGCCAACATTCATTGCTGGGATGGATTGCACGAAGCTGTTCCATGACAACGTTCCTCTGAAACATACGTTTTCTCTTGCAGCTGCGATCCTATTTCTCCTGGGAGGTATGAAAGAGAAAAGGCAGAGCAGAACCCAACCCTGTCCCATGGTATATCTTCATAAAAGACCCAAAAGTACTTGTTTCTGGGGTGGATACCAACCCTGTTCGGGTGCCTTTGGCATGCAAGCTCCACAAACAGCTATAACTCCCACAACTCAGGAGACACTGAAGGCCCTCTTCCCAATGACATTGCAGGTTATAGTGAGCACCATAAACATGACCAAGAGCCATGCCAGTGTCCTCCACAAAGGCCACACTGCCCACCACCCAAGGGAAGGCATTCATACGGGAACCATTTCATCCTAGATTTTATGTGTTTGCTCCATCACAGGCATCCCAATGTTCCTTACTCTCCCCATTGGTGTGGAATTTGCATGACCCATCCACTGCCTCTTCTTTAACCCTTTCCTATTGTTTTCTATGGTACACAGAAAACAGAGGAATTGATCAGCTACTGAACATACTGGAGAGGTTTGGGGAGAATTCAACATAATTTATAGGAGTTGTAGGTCCTCGGATGTATAGTTCACCAGCAATCTAAGAACTGCACACTGAACTCCACCAACAATGGACCTGGAACTAGCATGACACACATGACCAACAAAAAATACTGGTGGTCTTTTGAGAGATTTAGAGCAGTTGTAGTTCACCTACATCCATAGCACACTATGAACCCAAACAGTGATGGATCTGGACCAAACTTAGTATGCACAAATACGAATACTGGTGTGTTTGTAGAAGAATTGGCCTGGACATTTTGGACTTGTGGGTACTGGGATTTATAGTTCACCTGCAATCAAGGAGCACTCTGAACTCCACTAAAGATGGGATTGGATCAAACATGGCACACAGAATCCGCATGACAAGCAAAAAATAATGGATGTTGTTGGGGAAAATTCACCTTGATTTGGGGGAGTTGTAGTTCACCTACATCCAGAGAGCACTGTGATCTGGACCAAACTTGACATGCCAAAATTTGATTACTGGAGCGGGTTGTGGGGGGGACGGGGACTGACCTTTTCTGGGAGTTGTGGTTCACCCACAATCAGAGAAACAGTGACCTCCACCAATGATGTACCTGAACCAAATTTGGCACACAGAACCCCCATGACCAACTCAACCTACTGGAAGGGTTTGAGGGGATTGACTCACCATAGTGGGAATTGTAGTTTACCCTGCAGCTAGATAGCACACTGAACCCCAACAATGATGCATCTAGAGCAAACTTGCCCAACATAACAAACTTTAAGTACTGATGGTGTTCCTCGGGGTGAATCTGACATAATGGGAGTTTTAGTTCACCCACATCCTTATGCATTTTGTATAATTAAAATTTATTTTTTCTAAATAATCCAGGCAAGGAAAGTATAAAATAAAACAGTTTTGGGAATGGTGAGAAGTAGAAGGAATCCAGACTGTATTGCAAAGAAATGGAAAGGCGATGGGGACATTGTGTCATTGCAAGTGATTGATGGGTTTCTTCTGGTAATAATTAAGGAGCCTCAAAGTGGCTTGCACAAAAAACGCTACTGAACAGAACACATCAATTGCTGAGAACCACAATGTGGGGTTCCCTCTCTTTACTAGGCCTTTCCGGAGCAGTTGCTGTTTTTTGGTACGGCATCGACACCATCCAGAAGTACAAGCTGGAGGTAGGTTGAGCTTCAAAAGAGGAAAGGAATAGAATTCAGGTATCTAGACGGCAGTCTGGATTCTTGAGGGTCGTAAAAGGCATCCTCACAATTCAGCAATTAGATTGCGCCATGCCTCCATAGTGAAGGATTCATAAAGTCACACGTCTTTCCCATTCCTGAAGAAGCCAAGAATTGGTGCTGGTTCCTGGATATAGAATGTATAGATTGGATCTGGCTTTGAAAAAGAGACACAGTATAACCGGGAATGCAGGAAGACATTTGCAGATTGTTGGGCAATGATCAGTCATTTTCATGTGGTGGATTGACATGCTCCAGATTGCATGTTTTTGAATGTTGCGACGCTTGGAAGCCATTCCGGAAAGCACACATGAATGCAAAGCCGAATATAAAATGTATTCATTCATACATATTTGTTTCAAGGAAAAACGTTTCAAAATAACAACAAATTCTTAATATCATTGTTTGTTAATTATAAAAGGCGACAGTTTCCTTGTAATTAGAAAGAAAGAAAAATAGCCTCTGTTCTGTCGCGCGCTGGGCCTGTAAATAATTGTCTTTAGAACAGGACGTGCAACCTTTGCCCAGCGGGAAGCCAGGGGGCCCAAGGAGAAGTTCTCAGAGGTTTTCCACCACAAATAGTCTTTAGATGGCTTGTGAAGTATAACAAAGTCTTTTATTAATGAACAATCAAACAGAAACTTCTCTTGTCTTCAATAAAGCTAAACAAATGCTTCCAAGCTTTATGCAACTGGTGACTTCCTAATCTTGCCCACGAAGGACAGGCAACTGTCTTCAATAACTTCTTCTTTACTTTAAAGGAAAATCCCCTTTTTAACTTCTCCCAGGCTGACTGTAATCTAACCCTTACTGATGTGGGCTCCGCTACCGGGTCGAACTGCTTCTCGAACGCCGAGTGGACCTACCAGTAAAGGCTTAGATGTTCTCCAGCTGGAGTTCTTTGGTCTTTAGGGCTGTTTCCCTGGAAATCTTTGGAGACTCTTAAGACTGTTCTCCCCCGGAAGGTCTTGGATGCTCTTAAGACTGTTTTCCCCCAGAAAGTCTTAAGGGTTGAAGCTTTTGTACAGGGGAAGCTTGCACACGTCCTGTACATTAGCTTTCCTTGCTGAGACTAACTAAAAATGGCTCCCTTCCCTTCCCAATTGCCCTGAGCAAGGGGCGGAACCAAAACTTAATGATGATGGACAGGTGACTTGCCCTATGACTGCAACCAAAGGAAGCCACCTATCTGCAGAGTCCCTGAAACCTAGGACTGCAAACAAACATTTAATACAAAGCAAATAAAGTTGGAGCTCCTGGTACAGCCGTACCAGCACAGCCATAACTATTGGTACCAGTAAACACTCCATTGTAATTCATACAATAACTTCACAGTGATCTTCAAATTAGTGGAATCATAGTAGATGCATTCATTATACCTTTCCTGCCATCTTGTGTCCAGAACGGTGAATTGTATGGTTTGACGTATCAATAAAAAAAGTCAAATAAATAAATAAATAACAATTGACACTGAGATGATCTTCTTTTGAAAGATGTTGCTCTACCCTTCAACCATTCGATCCACTGCAGGACAGCATGATGGAGTTGGATACATGACCCCTGGGCAGGGGCGGCTCAACCATTACGCAAAGTAAGCCTTTGCAGTATAGTTGATTTTGTCCAGGGGCGCTCTTGAGGCGCTCTTGGGGGAAAACAGACCTTGACATATGCGAGTTGTAGTTACTGGGATGTATAGTTCACCTACAATCAAAGAGCATTCTGAACTCCACCAATGATGGAATTGAACCAAATATGGCACACAGAACTCCCATGACGAACAGAAAATATATATCAGTGATTGGTTGGGGGGAGGGGGGGGCAAAATACTGTTTGCTTACCATTGAAAATTACCTAGGGCCGCCTCTGCCCCTGGGGGTCCCTTCCAACTTGAGGATACAGTGCATGGTTCTAATTCCGCTTTCTGGGATCTCCTCTTTCCGGTCCATTGTGTCGTCTCAACATCTCCATTCTCTTTCAGGTCAGCTTGGGCATCCCTGGCGTGACTTATGAGCTTGGCTATTCCTTCTGGGTGGCAGTTGCTGGGGTGGCGAGTGCCACTTCCAGTGGCCTTTTGTTGTCGGTTGCCTACTGTCTTCGAACCCAGAGCCCAAGGAAGAAGGAGCCTGTCTTCAAACGAAGGTTGTGCACTTATCTGTGATCCTTTCTCTCACCTCTTATTAAACCAGGACCTTGTAGGGTCATTTTGATGTGTCTTGTGCCTCCAGTAGGTTGTTTTTCACATCTATTTGCATTGCTCATTATACATACATATCTGCCATTGCCTGGGTGTTGTTGGGACCACTTGTCTTCCTACTTTCTCCCTTCTCCAGCTCAGACATGTTTCCATGGCAGCTCTTTTTGGGCAGGCTCTCTTTGTGGCTCTTTCTTTCCTTTATCCCTTTCCCTCAAACACCTTCTCCTGCTCTCTTTTCCTCTTCCCTTGCTTTACAACATAACCCCCCTCTCCTTCCTTCCTTCCTTCCTTCCTTCCTTCCTTCCTTCCTTCCTTCCTTCCTTTCTTTCTTTCCTCCTCACATACTTTCTCCCCTTTCCTTGCCATTCCCTCCCTCCCTTCTCCCACCCTTTTGTTCTCTTCCCTTCTTCTCTTTGTTCCCTTCTTTCATCATTTCTTCTTTCTTCCCTTCCATTATCTTCTTTTCCTTCTCATACACTCCTCCTTTTCCTTTCTCTTCCTTCTCTTTTCTCTTTCCCTTCTTTGCTTCCTCCCTCCTCATACACACATCATCTTTCTTTTCCAGTGACATTACAGAGGGCCACTTTGTCCTGCAATAACAAGCAAACAATCATACACACACACTTGGACTTTTACATATAGATATAGATTGGTTTGCTCTGTTTTTATTATTATTACTATCTTGGGTCCCCGGCATTGCCCAAGTTATTTGAAAAAGTCAGTTATTTAATTGGCCAAAACTGCAACTTACATCTTTCCAGGTTAACCCCAAAAAACTCCATCGGTACTTAAAAGTTTGTCATGTTTGGCAAGTTTGCTCTCAATGCATCATTGGTGGGGTTCAGTGTGCTCTCTGGCTGCAGGGTAAACTACAACTCCCACTATGGTGAGTCTCAAACCCCTCCAGTAAGTTGTGTTGGTCATGTGGGCTCTGTGTGCCAAGTTTGTTCCAGGTCCATCATCAGTAGAGGTCACAGTTTCTCTGGTTGTGGATGAACTACAACTCCCAGAAAGGAAGGTCAGTCCCATGTCCCTATCCTCCAGTAATTAAATTTCGGCATATTAGTTTGGCCCAGATCCATTGGTGTTTGGGTTCACAGAGCTGTCTGGATGTAGGTGAATGTTGAGATTAACTTCACAATTCAGCAGCAGATCAGTTGCACAACTTCAGCGCTTTCCAGTAGCTTCTTCCTGCACAGTATTTTCAGTCAACTGTTCCCACAGCCTGCAGTCACTCTGGAACCTTTTACAGACACTTGAGCACATGCCCGGCCATTGTCAGTTTTACCATTGTCTTTCCCCCAGTCTAGATGATATTACAAACTTACCACAGCATACAGTTATATCTTGTCTTAGCAGACAGGTTCTTTAATTACATATAGCCTTCGACGAACAACATCACAGCACAAGGAGAAATATACACTGTACATGACTTCCTTATATACAATTCTATACAATTACACATAGCAATCTCTGATTGGTTCCCAACTCTTTAACTTAGACCCAGGATTACATCATTCACAATCACCTGGACTAGGCCAGAACACATTCCCCAAATGATTCCCTATATATACAGTTAATGCATGACTCAGCATTTCCAATAGAAACCCATTAGCAGTGCATGATTCAGCTATATTACATTACAATACATTGTAAAACCTGACAGTGAACTACAACTCCCCCAAATCAGAAAGGAAGGTCAGCCCTCCCTCCAAACCCCTCCAGTAATTAAATTTCAACATATTAGTTTGGCCCAGATCCATCGGTGTTTGGGTTCACAGTGCTATCTGGATGTAGGTAAACTACAATTCCCCCAAATCAGAAAGGAAGGTCAAAAGATCGCCAGTATTTTTGCTGATCATGGGGCTCTGTGTGCCAAGTTTGGTCCACTCTTTGGTGGAGTTTGCAGGTAAACTGTACATCCCAGCACCTACAACTCTGAATGACATAGCCAATCCCCATCAAAACCCACCAGTATTCAAATTTGGGCGTATCGGGTACGCATGCCAAGTTTGGCCCAGATCCATCGTTGTTTGGGTTCATCGTGCTCTCTGGATGTAGGTGAACTACAACTCCTATAAATCCCTCTAAATACCTCCAGTATTTTTTGTTGGTCATGGGGCTTCTGTGTGCCAAGTTAGTTCCAGGTCCATTGTTGGTGTTCAGCGTGCTCTTAAATTGCAGGTGAACTATACATCTCAGAACCTACAACTCCTATAAATCTTGGTGAATTCTCCCCGAACCTCTCTAGTACATTCAGTTGCTGATCAACTCCTCTGTTTGCTGTGTACCATAGAAAAGAGTAGGAAAGGGTTACGGGAGAGGCAGTGGGCAGGATAATGTAAATTCCACACCAATGGAGAGAGTCAGAAACACTGGGATGCCTGTGCTGGAGGAAACACATAAAATCTAGGATGGAATTGTTCTCATATGAAAGCCTTCCCTTGGGTGGTGGGCAGTATGGTGTTGGTGGAGGACATTGGCAGGGCTCTTGGATGTGTTCATGGTGCTCACTATAACCTGTAATGTGATTGGAAGGAGTGCCATTGGTGTCTCCTGAGTGGTGGGAGCTATAGCTGTTTGTGGAGGAAAGAGCTTGTCACCCCAGCCACATACACACATACACATTTTCACTTTTATTATGTGTGTAGATTATGTATATAAATAGATTGAATAATAATAATAATAATAATAATAATCAACTTTATTTAGACCCTGCCTTTCTCCCCGTGGGGACTCCTGGCAACTAACAACCCCACACTTTATTTGCTCTTTACCATTGGATTCTAGTGAACGTTCTGTCAATTGGAAAGGATTTGCAGTTATATTGCATATGTTGGTTGATATGGATATGTTTAGAAATAATGACGGAGGGAAGGGGGAGACACAGACGATGCAAACTCAAGACGATGCTGCAATGCTGCCTTGTGCCCAAAGCCGACGCATCAAGAAAAATGGTTTTGCACCAGGCAACGGAGTCCTTTCTGCCATGCAATGAAACCCTTCACACCCGAGTGTCACACTCGGGATGCGACCGCATACATCTTGGAGGGGACGGTTCGTGGATAATAGACAGTGCGTTGAAACCTCCTGGAAGGGGAAGCATCTCCTTTGGGAAGCAGAAAGAGAGAATAATAATAGTAATAATAATAATAATAATAATTCAAAAATACATCACACAGTCCTAGACACTTGGGAAGTGTTCTACTTGTGATTTTGTGATACGAAATCCAGCATATAGATCTCGTTTGCTGTGACATACTGTGTTTTTGTGTGATAATAATATACTTTACTTATATTCTGCTCTATTTACCCAAGGGGACTCAGAGCGGATTACAGTGAACAACGACGTACAATGCACAAACAAAGGCAAATGTTTCCCTTTCTATCTCTGGCGTCTGGAGGCGATGCTCAACTCTGGCCATGGGGAGATGCTCTTGTTTTCCATTATTTTCCATTGTGAGGAACCTGTTGTTCGTAGACCCTCCTGCTTGTGTTCTGCCGACATGGTTCCCACTGAAGTGGGAACCATGATCTACTCATGATCTGCCTGTTGATCTACTCACATTACCTGTTGATCTACTCACAGGTTGATCTACTCACATTAACATGTTTTGAACTGCTTGGTTGGCATGAGTTAGATCTAACAGGGAGCTCACCCAGTCCCGTGGATTCGAAATGCCAACCTTCAGGCCAGCAGTTCAGCAGCACAAGGGTTAAACCCATTGTGCCACCATGGCTCTACAATGCTCAGAGTGCATTCCCTACATTGGCATTCTGGAACACTTCCGAAACTCCGCTATATGTGTGATTTTGGAGAACATCCTACCACTGACCTTTGATGGCATAAAGACAGCAGGTCAGGGCAACAGAGGCCACCAAACAGCCCACGGACCCAGCCATGCCCATCCAACAAGACCAGCCAAAGTCATGGTAGATGCCCAGAAACACACTGTGGAGCAACAAGGTGGCTCTCTCCATGTAGACGTCGACTGCGTACCAGATGGAACCCACCAGTCCAAGGATGCCTGAAAGGAGAGCAATTGAAAAAAGTGACAATAGCAAAATTATAGTCTTATTGATTGTTTTACAAGTTTTTTTATTTCGTTTTCACAGTTTTACATGTGATATAGAGGGAAAGGAGAATAGGGGAAGGGGGGAGGATGGGAGACAGTAGAAAAAATATGATATGTTAGTCACGGAGTTTTGTTAGTACATTAATTCTATTGTATCACCGGGGGTATAGAAAAGACCCATTTATGATGCCACAGCAAGCTGGTTTCAGGAAAGGGAAAAGCTACACATCACAAGTGCTGAACCTGACTCAGCACATAGAGGATGGTTTTAAAAGACAACAGATTACAGGAGCTGTCTTCATAGACCTGTTAGCAGCCTATGATACTGTAAATCATTGCCTTCTCCTAAGAAAACTGTATAATATCATGAAGGATTGCCACCTCATTTGCTTCATAGGAAATCTGCTACAAAACAGGAGCTTTTTTGTTGAGTTCCAGGGCCAGAGAAGCAGATGGCGGAAACAGAAGAATGGCCTGCCTCAGGGATGCGTGCTTGCTCCATCAATGTTTAACATTTACACAAATGATCAGTCACTGCCAGAAGAGACAGAGAGTTTCATTTATGCTGACGATCGTGTAATCACCACTCAAGCAGGGAGCTTTGGAAACCAATGTTTCTGTTCAATAAGCTCTCCAAAACTTTAGGTGTTTTTACTGCTTATTACTGGAAAACACTAGCTGAGTCCTAATTCACCTAAAATGCAGATGAGTGCTTTTCACCTTAAGAACAGACAAGCATCTCGAGCTCTGGGGATTACCCGGGAAGGAATCCCACTGGAGCATTGCAGCGCACCCAAATACCTGGGAGTCACTCTGGACCGTGCTCTGACCTACAAGAAGCACTGCCTGAACATCAAGCAAAAAGTGGCTGCTAGAAACAATATCATAACGAAAGCTGACTGGCACAACCTGGGGATCACAACCAGACACAGTGAAGACATCTGCCCTTGCGATTTGCTACTCTGAGTACGCATGTCCAGTGTGGAACACATCTCACCACATTTAAACACTGGACATTCCTCACAATGAGACATGTTGCATTACCACAGGATGTCTACATAGTACACCACTGGAGAAATTATATGGTATGTCTTGTATGTCGAAAACGGCATTGAATGTTTGCCGTGTATATGTGGATTGTGATTTGCCCTGAGTCTCCTTCGGGGTGAGAAGGATGGAATATAAATACTGTAAATAAATAAATAATCAGTTTAGCCAGTATTGCGCCACCGCTGGGAAGTAGCAGGCAGCAATGAAAGGACCAAGGCATTGACATCTCCAACCCATCCTCTGTTCAGATATCAACCAGCAAGACAACTCCTTCAATCAAGAAACAGCTTGCTAAGATCTACAGAGATACTCATAGGAACACTTCAGCAAGTGAGAGTCCAAAAGTGGCAGGCTCAAGCCATGGATGATACCAAATGAGAGACTCCCTCCTGGACACACAGTAGACTGGGCAACTTGAAAGGCGCTAAACAGACTGCACTCTGGCACTACGAAATGTAGAGCCAACCTTAAGAAATGGGAATACAAAGTGGAATCCACGACAAGCGAGTGCAGAGAAGAGCAAACCACAGACCACCTATTACAATGCAGTCAGAGCCCTGCCACATGCACAATGGAGGGCCTTCTCACTCCAAGCAACTGGTCAAAGGAAATTTAGGACAATGTCAAGTTTTTATCTTTGTGGTTTTTCTATACATTATAACTGTATAGTCAATCCGCTTCTGACACTATAAATAAATAAACTCTCCAATATTTCCTATATTCTTGTTCTGGTACAGCTGTACCAGGAGCTCCAACTTTATTTGCTTTGTATTAAATGTTTGGTTGCAGTCCTGGGTTTTAGGGACTCTGCAGATAGGTGGCTTCTTTTGGCTGCAGTCATAGGGCAAGTCACCTGTCCATCATCATTAAGTTTGGTTCCGCCCCTTGCTCAGGGCAATTGGGAAGGGAAGGGAGCCATTTTTAGTTAGTCTCAGCAAGGAAAGCTAATGTATAGGACGTGTGCAAGCTTCCCCTGTACAAAAGCTTCAACTTTTAAGAATTTCCAGGAGAAACAGCCCTAAAGACCAAAGAACTCCAGCTGGAGAACATCTACTGCCTTACTGGTAGGTCCTCAGCGGCCTTCGATACCGTCGACCACGGTATCCTTCTGGGACGCCTCGCGGGAATGGGCCTTGGTGGCACTGTTTTACAGTGGCTCAGGTCCTTCCTAGAGGGTCGTACCCAGAAGGTGTTGATGGGGGACAGCTGCTCGTCCTCACAACCTTTGTCTTGTGGGGTCCCGCAGGGTTCAATACTGTCCCCCATGTTGTTTAACATCTACATGAAGCCGTTGGGAGAGATCATCCGGAGTTTCGGGGTGCGGTGTTATCTGTACGCAGATGATGTCCAACTCTGTCACTCCTTCCCACCTACTACTAAGGAGGCTGTTCAGGTCCTGAACCGGTGCTTGGCCGCTGTGTCGGACTGGATGAGGGCGAACAAATTGAAATTGAATCCAGACAAGACAGAGGCACTCCTGGTCAGTCGAAAGGCCGAACGGGGTATAGGGTTACAGCCTGTGTTGGACGGGGTTACACTCCCCCTGAAGACGCAGGTTCGCAGCTTGGGTGTGATCCTGGATTCATCGCTGAGCCTGGAGCCCCAGGTCTCGGCGGTGGCCAGGGGAGCATTTGCACAGCTTCGGCTCGTGCGCCAGCTGCGCCCGTACCTTGGGAAGTCTGACTTGGCCACGGTAGTCCACGCTCTTGTCACATCCCGAATAGATTACTGCAACGCGCTCTACGTGGGGTTGCCCTTGAAGACTGCCCGGAAGCTTCAGATGGTCCAGCGTTCGGCAGCCAGGTTGCTAACGGGAGCGGCACTCAGGGAGCACACCACTCCTCTGTTGAGCCAGCTCCACTGGCTGCCAATCTGCTACCGGGCACAATTCAAGGTGCTGGCATTAGCCTACAAAGCCCTAAACGGTTCCGGCCCTACTTACCTCTCCGAACGCATCTCCACCTATGAACCGACGCGGACACTAAGATCTTCCGGGGAGGCCCTGCTCTCGGTCCCGCCTGCATCACAGGCACGGTTGGCGGGGACGAGAGACAGGGCCTTCTTGGTGGTGGCCCCTCGGCTATGGAATGCCCTACCCATTGACATCAGACAGACCCCTTCACTGCTGGCGTTTCGGAAGAAGGTTAAAACCTGGCTCTTTGAGCAAGCGTTTGGCTAATCAGTGCAATTGAACATAGGAAGATGGTAAATTGAACAAAGGAATGGCACAAGGACTATGAGAATGGATTTTGCTTTGTTATCGAGGCATCATGAATTGATAATAATTGTGTATTTTGTTATTGTGTATGATGTGTTTTAATTGTAATTGTTGTGATAATTTACATTGTGTAAACCGCATTGAGTCGCCTAATTAGGCTGAGAAACGCAGTATAGAAATAAAGCAAATAAATAAATAAATAATACTGATAGGTTAACTCGGCGTTCGAGACACAGTTCGACCCGGTAGCGGAGCCCACATCAGTAAGGGTTAGATTACAGTCAGCCTGGGAGAAGTTAAAAAGGGGATTTTCCTTTAAAGAAGAAGTTATTGAAGACAGTTGCCTGTCCTTCGTGGGCAAGATTAGGAATTCACCAGTTGCCTAAAAGCTTGGAATCATTTGCTTAATTTACTGAAGACAAGAGAAGTTTCTGATTGATGGTTCATTAATAAAGGACTTTGTTGTACTTCACAAGCCATCTAAAGACTATTTGTGGTGAAACCCTCTGAGAACTTCTCTTTGGGGGCCCTGGCTTCCCGCTGGGCAAAGGTTGCACATCCTGTTCTAAAGACAATTATTTACATGCCCAGCATGCGACAGAACAATTCTTTTTTTTGAAAAACATAATACAAATTTATGAAAGCTTGCCCTGTTACCAATGGAAGGTTACCAATGGAAGGCGCTACCTACTTCCAACTCCAAGCATGAAGCCAGAGGAGTAGCACATCTTCAGCTTGACCTGGGGCTCGTCCTTGAGGAACTTGACACAGTCGAGGCCCGACACCAGCAGCACCAGCGCAAAGACCGAGAGGATGTCAGCCGTGATGAGCAACGCGCGGGTCACCACAATTTTCACTGCGGAAGGACAGTGGACAAAGGGGAAGCGGACACCAGTTGAGCACTAAACTGTATTCAAGCCCCTACCGACATTTACTTTGATTGTCTTCCTTCCCTATATTACTTTGCATTCATCTTACTGCATTCACTCTGCACCACCAGACCAATGGTAGATGGTAGATCTAAGACATGGGATGTTAACATGTCCTACTAATACACCAATTTCCTATTGTAGTTCTATTGCGGTGAAAAAGAACCAGATTAGACCTACTGATGCTAAAGACCTGGAAACATGACAAGGATGTTATAGGAAAGGTCAACCATCAGCTGCCTAGGGTCAAAACTGAATTTATTCCTATAATGTAGATGCCACCAGGGGCATCTGATCATTTGGTGACTTACGGGGGTGTTCGGCTAAAATGGAGTCGTACTGGTCGCAGGTCCGGATGCCGTCTTGCATGTTGGTGACACACTCCCTCCAAAGCCCCCGGCATTTGTGGCTCACCTGGGAAGGAAATGAAAGATCCTATGGAGATCACATCACCATCATCTCCAGAACGTTTGCTATTTACTTGGTTGCCACCATCAGAGCTGCAAGATTGATATTATTATTATTATTATTATTATTATTATTATTATTATTGGGCATCATGAACTGGACGCAGGCAGAACTGGACAATTTAGACAGAAAAATAAGAAAAGTCATGACTATTCATAATTCACTACATCCTTGCAGTGATGTTGACCGCCTCTATCTGCCTAAGGTCTGGAGGCAGAGGACTCTTACAAGTAAAACAAGCAATCGAAGAAGAAATATGTAAAGAATATGGCAGAATAAGTCAAGGAAAGCCAAGAACCTGCTTTAATTGAAGTCAATAATCGGAAACTTCTCAAAGCACAGCAGACAAAGAATCAGTACAAGAAAACTGCATTACAAACCAAAGCTGACAGCTGGCACCACAAAGCATTGCATGGGCAGTTCCTTGACAAAATTGAAGGAAAAGTTGATAAGGAGAAAACCTGGTTATGACTCACATATGGAACCATGAAGAAGGAGACAGAAGAAGGCCTGGTTCTTGGAGACCAGGAGCAAGCCATCAGGACATATGCCATTAAGGCCAGGATTGAAAAATCAGCTGATGACCCAAAATGCAAACTGTGCAAGGAAGCCGATGAAACCATGTATCATCTCCTCAGCTGCTGCAAGAAAATCGCACAGACGGACTACAAACAGAGGCACAACTCTGTGGCCCAGATGATTCACTGGAACTTATGTCACAAGTACCACCTGCCAGTAGCCGGTCTGAGTCTCTCTACGGAGGTTGAGAAGATCGGGGTATAAAAGTTTTAAATAAATAAATTAAATAAATAGTAAAGAACCTGCAAAGGTCGTGGAAAATGAACTCGCAGAAATACTGTGGGATTATCGAATCCAGACTGACAAATTTTTGGAACATGACGATTGTGGAAAATAAAAAAGTTTGAATTATTGATGTCGCCGTTCCAGGTGACAGTTGCATTGAGAAAAAACAACAGGAAAAACTCAGCCATTATCAAGACCTCAAAATCAAACTGCAAAGGCTCTGGCATAAACCAGTACCTGTGGTCCCAGTGGTAATGGGCATACTGGGTGCCGTGCCAAAAGTTCTCAACTGGCATTTGGAAACAATAAACACTGACAAAATCACGATCTGTCAACTGCAAATGGCCACCTTACTTGGATCTGCACACATCCCAATTCTATTGTTGATGGGGTTCAGAATGCTCTTTGATTGTAGGAGAACTATAAATCCCAGAAACTACAGTTCCCAAATGTCAAGGTCTGTTTTCCCCCAAATTCCACCAGTGTTCACATTTGGGCATATTGAGGATTTGTGCCAAGATTGGTCCAGATCCATCATTGTTTGAGTCCACAGTGCTGTCTGGATGTAGGTGAACTACAACTCCCAAACTCAAGGTCAATGACCACCAAACCCTTCCAGTATTTTCTGTTGGTCATTGGAGATCTGTGTGCAGGGGCGGCTTGTCCATTACACGAAGTAAGCAGTCACAGAACACTTTTTTTTGCCAGGGGCACAGAGGCGCCACTGTAAATGCCCCTCAACCGCCACTTGAGGAGCGCCCCCTCAGCTCACAACAGCCCTAGCAGTCCGGGGGAGCCTCGGCTTTCTTGCCTCACTGCCGGGCAATCCTCTTCCCAAAGGGGCCGGGCCCTTGAGCCTCGCCTAGCCCCTCTCGTTCCTGCTCCACCTGGCCACCGGGTGCGCGAGCAGAACCAGCGCTCAATCGTTCTCCGTGTTCGATCCCTTCCCCATGACTGGCTCCCTTTCTGATCCCTCGGTGCTCCACCCGCCTCCTCTCCTCTCCCCAATCCGCAGGTGGGCCAAGGGGCGGAGCCGCCGCGCCTGGCCCACTTCGGGTCCGGAGGCGTGTCTGAAGACCCCAGTGTGCGCACCAAAAGTCGCCTCTTCTCCTGACTTTCTCTTCAGCCATTGGGACCAGAGAGAGAGAGAGAGAGAGAGAGCCCCTCCGGCTGGAGGTATCTCCCACCTCCGCTCCCTCCTTTGTTTTTGCGCCTACCTTCAGGAAATGTGGGCATCTCCACCTCTCTCTCTCTCTCTCTGGTCCCAATGGCTGAGGAGAAAGTCAGGAGAAGAGGTGACTTTTGGTGCACACGCCGGGGTCTTCAGGCACGCCTCCGGACCCAAAGCGGGCCAGGCAAGGGAGCAAGTGCGGCAAGTGTAGTTACTGGGATGTATAGTTCACCTACAATCAAAGAGCATTCTGAACTCCACCAATGATGGAATTGAACCAAATATGGCACACAGAACTCCCACCACGAACAGAAAATATATATCAGTGATTGGTTGGGGGGGGGGGGCAAAATACTGTTTGCTTACCGTTGAAAATTACCTAGGGCCGCCTCTGTCTGTGTGCCAAGTGTGCTTCAATTCCATCATTGGTGGAGTTCAGAATACTCCTTTATTGTAGATAAACTATCAATCCCAGCAACTACAACTCCCAAATGACAAAATCAATCCCATTCCCAACCTCACCACTATTCAAATTTGTCTGTATTGAGTATTTGTGCCAAATTTGGTCCAGTGAATGAAACTGCGTCCTGCATATCAGATATTTACATTACGATATATAACAGTAGCAAAAATACAGTTATGAAGTAGCAACGAAAAAAAATTTGTGACTGGGGGTCACCACAACATTGAGCTGAGTAATAGCGACACTTCAACAAGATGTGTTCTAATGATTCTATTTCATTTCCACCGCACGGGCATCCCTAGGAAGGTGGGTTAAAATACCTTCCACTGGACATTGAGCATGGAATCGTGCGGCGGGAGCAAGGAATGTGCCGGAGAAGTGTTCTCCCGGAAAAAGTTGAGCATAGAAACCAATAGGATCTTGGCCTGACCACTATCATGGCATCTTTGTTTGACTCACCTCTAAGCTGTCATCAGCGTTGACCATCCAGCAGTCGGTCCACGTTGCTGCCACTAGGAAGAGGGTCGAGATAAAGGCCACGCAGAAAGAGGCCAGCTGCAGGAACACCGCCATTGGGAGAACTGCAAAAGCCCAGAGATTATTTCGTTCAAATTGTATATGTGGATAGATAGATAGATAGATAGATAGATAGACAGACAGACAGACAGACAGACAGACAGACAGACAGACAGACAGACAGACAGATGTGTACCGCAATGATTCCTCTGTAGCTGGATGGGTTGGGACCAGGCATGGCACACAGAGCCTTTATGAAGGAAGGAAGGAAGGAAGGAAGGAAGGAAGGAAGGAAGGAAGGAAGGAAGGAAGGAAGGAAGGATGGAAGGAGCAAATCTGATCTGCATGCCTTCGATTCCATCATCCAAGTCATTGATAAAGATCCGGAGTGGCCCTGAAAGGTCCACTTATGGCACCCAAATAGTCACTTCTCTATAGGTTGAACCGTGTTCACGTCAAGACAGAAGGAGAGGCAGGTAATAAATGTATGATGGTGATGATGACAATGCATTAATACTAAAGGAGGCAATGTGGCACAGTGCATAATAATAATAATAATAATAATAATAATAATAATAATAATAATAATAATAATAATAGGTAAATGTAAAGGTTTCTCCTAACATTAATTCTAGTTGTGTCTGACTCTGGGGGTTGGTGCTCATCTCCATGTCTAAGCCAAAGAGCCGGCGTTGTCTGTAGACACCTCCAAGGTCATGTGGCCGGCATGACTGCATGGAGTGCTGTTACCTTCCCGCCGGAGGTAACCTATTGATCTACTCACATTTGCATGTTTTTGAGCTGCTATGTTGGCAGAAGCTGGACTTAACAGCAGGTGCTCACCCCGCTCCCCGGATTCAAACCGCCAACCTTTCAGTCAGCAATTTCAGCAGCTCAGCAGTTTAACCTGCAGTGCCACCAGGGTGGTGTAATAATAATAATAATAATAATAATAATAATAATAATAATACTCTGGCATAAACCAGTCCAGGTGGTCCCAGTGGTCATTGGCGCACTGGGTGCCGTGCCAAAAGATCTCAGCTGGCATTTGGAAACAACAAATATCGACAAAATCACGATCTGTCAACTGCAAAAGGCCACCTGACTTGGATCTGCGCGCATCATTCGAAAATACATCACACAGTCCTAGATGCTTGGGAAGTATTTGACTTGTGATTTTGTGATACGAAATCCAGCATATAGATCCCGTTTGCTGTGACACACTGTGCTTTTGTGTCAATAATAATAATAATAATGCATTAATGCTGAATGAGACAATGTGGCATAGTGCACAACAGCAGCAGCAGCAATAATAATCATAGTAATAATTAATTAATAATGCATTAATGTTGGAGAAGACAATGTGACAATTATTTGATACATAACAAGATTAGTACACAGCAAACAAGATCACTCTGCTGACTGTTGTATTGGATCACACGTTGAATACTTCCCAAGTGTCTAGGACTGTGATGTATTGGTGAATAATGTGTGCAGATCCAAGTAGAGTGGCTTTTGTAGCTGACAGATGGTGATTTTGTTAGCACCGATTGTGTTTAAGTGCAGGCCAAGGTCTTTAGGCACTGCACCCAGTGTGCCAGTCACCGCTGGGACCCCCTTGACTGGCTTGTGCCAGAGCCTTTGCAGTTCGATCTTTAAATCCTTACATTGTGTAAGCTTTTCCAGTTGCTTCTCGTAAATCCTGCTGTCGCCTGGAGTTGCAACATCGACGATCCATACTTGTATTATAATTATTATTATTATTATTATTATTATTATTATTATTATTATGCTCTATTATCTTTAACACAAAAGCACAGTATGTCACAGCAAACGAGATCTACATACTGGATTTCGTATCACAAAATCACAAGTCAAACACTTCCCAAGTGTCTAGGACTGTGTGATATATTTTTGAATGATGCGCGCAGATCCAAGTCAGGTGGCCTTTTGCAGTTGACAGATCGTGATTTTGTCAATGTTTATTGTTTCCAAATGCCGGCTGAGATCTTTTGGCACGGCACCCAGTGTGCCAATGACCACTGGGACCACCTGTACTGGTTTATGCCAGAGCCTTTGCCCCCCGATGGGTGCCATCTTGTCATAGTGAGGGCTTAACTGCTCCAAGGACGCTGAGAGCTGTGCTGGCAGTAGTGTAACTACCAGCAGGTCCAACCAAGCCAGAGAGGTCTCAGCTGAGGAGTGGAACCAAGAGCACCTAACCCATTAGCACTATGGAGAAGCAAACCGAAACAAAGTCTATACTGGCTCAGTCAACACCCAGGATAAAAAGGACAGTGGTGGATGCAGTGATTCTGGACATCCATTGACAAGTGGACTACAGAATCAATATACAAATGAACAATCACAGAAGCGACGGAAATATACAATGCCAGAAAACCGCACAATTATTATTATTATTATTATTATTATTATTATTATTATTATTATTATTATTAGTTAGGCACAATGCTACAGTGTCTCCTCCAGCCTGATGCCTCATCCCATTTGTGGGATCCGGCACAGTTGCTTCCTTATAAGTAAAGCAGGTAGGATTTCAAGGCAAGCAATGCCACAAGGTATGAAATTATTGTAAACATTCCCTTCCTTGGGCACCAATGCCCCATTCTGTACTGTGCTGGTCAAAGACCTTAATAAATCATTAATTGATTGATTGTAAACAGACACCTCAAGGACTCCATAACCAAGCAGGAATTTTACCTTTAAGCTGAAAGAGCCAAAGTCCCAGGCGTCACACCGGTAAAGCAAAGCATCTGCATTAAATGGGAGCTTTCTGGTGAAGTGTGACTTTTCGGAAGCCAGGAAGGAGAGCAACGAGGATTGCAACGGTCACCTTGTCCAAACCAGATTGGGGTTTCTTTTTGTTTTCCCCATGTCAGCTGTGCTTTGGTCTTGACGACGTGATGGGTCCCTTAGCAATTAAAATAGCCATGGGTCAGGAAACAGCATTGGAAGCAGGTGTTGGCACCTTCAGGAGCTTGACAGGCAGCGCCAACACAGCCGCCAACCTGCCGCGTCCGTTCCTACGAGAATTTACACTGCCAAATGGACCCAGTTTGACACCCCTTTGGATTGCCTTGCCTCTGGGCTATGCAACCCTTGGAAAGCAAGGTGCCGAGACCTACCTATTCACAGGATTTCCCCTCGTATCCACGGATCTCTCATGTACATCTTCCCATCCTCAGGGATATCTAACTACCCACTGGCAAAGTTACCCCCAGTATCCATGGATCTTTTGTGTACATCTTCCCTTTCCCGGGGATATCTAAGTACCCATTTGCAGGGTTTCCCCCACTATCTGTGAATTCTTGTGTACGTCTTCCCTTCCCCAGGGATATCTATATAACTACCCATTCACAGGGTTCCCTCGATATCCACAGACCCTTTTGTGTGTGTGTGAATTTACTATACTATATTTTATGTCTCAATATAAAATCCTTTTTGGAGAAGCATGCCACCGACCACATCTCCTGATCTGGGAAGTCCATCCATATGTAGATGGGCATCATCTACATATGAAGGACTCAATCACCCATCACCCTTGGGACCAGTCAATCTCTACTGGACCCATGAACCCCGACCGTGCAGAAGATGACAGGATCCATTAGCAGGGTCACCCGTCCTTTGTCTCAGTCACCTGGACATTACAATAACATTGGTCACCTGGCATGACTATCCGTTCACCGCAATGTCATGCCCTGTTGTTCCACAATGACACTTCCCACTGGAATACACGCCCTCCAAATGGGAAGTTTAGCTTCACAACTATGTATGTTTTTACTAGTTCCCTGCAGATAACTTGCTCCTATTTTATCTCATTAGAGTTATAGAATTGTTTTTATCCTGTACATGTGGCCCGCAAAATTGTTATTGTGATTGTGCTTATTGGAATGTTATTTTATGACTGTGTTTATATATTTTTTTCTTTTTTCTTGATTTAATTTGATGATATTGTTTATTGTTTATGCTCTGGTTTTATTTTGCTGTAATATGTTGTCCAGGCTTGGCCCCATGTAAGCCGCTCCGAGTCCCCATTGGGGAGATGGTGGCGGGGTATAAATAAAGTTTATTATTGTATTGTCGAAGGCTTTCATGGCCGGAATCACTGGGTTGTTGTAGGTTTTTTCGGGCTATATGGCCATGTTCTAGAGGCATTCTCTCCTGACGTTTCGCCTGCATCTATGGCAAGCATCCTCAGAGGTAGTGAGGTCTGCTGGAACTAGGAAAAGGGGTATATATATCTGTGGAATGACCGGGGTGGGACAAAGAACTCTTGTCTGCTGGAGTTAGGTGTGGCACGAATACTCAAATGTGTGAACACTGGTGGAGTTTGGGGAAAATAGACCTTGACATTTGGGAGTTGTAGTTGCTGGGATTTATAGTTCACCTACAATCAAAGAACATTCTGAACCCCACCAATGATGGAATTGAGCCAAACTTACCACACAGAACCCCCATGACCCATAGAAAATACTGTTTTCTCTATGGTCTTTGGTGACCCATTTGACACCCCCTCGCGACCCCCCTCCCCAGGGGTTCCAACCCCCAAGTTGCAAAACATTGTCCTAGAGTCTTAACCAATTCAACCTGGTTTGTGGCAGCCACAAAAACGTAGTTTCTGGAATCGAGCAATGACTTTCAAAGTAAGGACCGCACAATTAAACAGGAAATAGCACTTTCAAACCAGGAACAGGATTTTCCCCCAAGTTTGTTACATAGTGTAAGAGGCAAAACCATCAGATAGTGAGTGAAGCTGGATCTACGCTGCAGTTTTGGATCGCAAGGGCAAAAAGAAAGAGTTTTTGGACAGTTCAGCCATTGAAAAGGGTGAGATCAAAGTTTCCCTCTGGATTCAGATAAGCCGCCTCCTCCTTCTTTTACACAAATGCACATTTGTGCAAAAGCACAAAAAGACCAATGAGAGATTCAACCAGAAGAATGGGTCCTGTTTTCCACTGAATTTCCCCCCCTCTTAAGTGGGATTTGGAACCAATGTTGTCCCAAAAGCACTGGACCCCCTCTCTTCTTGGAAGCCCTGTCTAGTGCTTGGATGGGAGTCCCATATTGGAGAATACACGCACCCTGAACCCCCATGTCTCAAGGCTATAGAATGTTGGGAGTTGTAGTTTGCGGAGACCACAGCTCTGTGTGGCGAAGAAAGCTAAAAACCTTGTCGAACTACAACTCCCAGGATACCATTGCATTTGATTGGTGCGGCTTTGTGTGCATTTGGTGGTATGTATTTTGTGTTTTGCCCCGCAAGGAGAGGTGGGTAATAATAATAATAATCTATACACATAATAAAAGTGTAAATATGTATGTGTGTATGTGGCTGGGGTGTTCACTTACACAAACAAGCTCCTGCCGCCACAAAAAGCTATAGCTCTCACTACTCAGGAGACACCAAAGGCTCTCCCGCCAATGACACTGCAGGTTATAGCGAGTGCCATGAAGATGTCCAAGAGCCCTGCCAATGACCTCCACAAACATCACACTGTCCACCACTGCCCAAGGCTTTCATAAGAGACAGGGGCGGCTCATCCATTACGCAAAGTAAGCGGTTGCAGTACACTTTTTTTGCCAGGGGCGCAGAGGCGCCTCTGTAAATGCCCCTCGACCGCCACTTGAGGAGCGCCCCCTCAGCTCACAATAGCCCTAGCAGTCTGGGGGGGAGCCTCAGCTTCCTTACCTCACTGCTGGGCAATCCTCTTCCTGAAGAGGCCGGGCCCTTGAGCCTCGCCTAGCCCCTCTCGTTCCTGCTCCATATCAATGATGGGGGGGGGGGGGCAAAATACTGTTTGCTTACCATTGAAAATTACCTAGGGCTGCCTCTGATAAGACAGGACACTGTCACTCTAGATTTTATGTGTTTCTCCACCACAGACATCCCAGTGTTTCTGATTCTCCATTGGTGTGGAATTTGTATGGCACCGCCCACTGCCTCTCCCATGACCCTTTCCTATTTCTATGTCTTTATTTTTCAAAATCGAACTGCAAAGGCTCTCTAGCATAAACCAGCAGAGGTGGTCTCATTGGTCATTGGCGCACTGGGCGCCATGCCAAAAGATCTCAGCCGGCATTTGGTAACAATAAACATCAACAAAATCACGATCTGTCAACTGCAAAAGGACACCTTACTTGGATCTGCACACATCACTCGAAAATACATCACACAGTCCTAGACGCTTGGGAAATGTTCGACTTGTGATTTTGTGATACGGAATCCAGCATATAGATCTTGTTTGCTGTGACATACTGTGCTTTTGTCTCAATAATAATAATAATAATCGGTGCAGACTGATTATTTCCAGACTGGACCCACTTTCCAGCATCTCCCTCCCGCGGTGCCTTTGGGTCAAAATGCTGCAAATTTTCCAACCTTGAACTTTGCAAAACAGACCCCAATTAGTCCAGGTTCGCCTTCAGCCAAACACTAAAGCCGCAGGGGAAGGGGATTTCGTCCATTTCCCAACCATTCCTTTCCACGGCATCCAATGGTGGAGAGGGATTAAGCAAATTAGTATTTCCTGCCGTTGCAAATCCCAGAAGAAGGATGGGAACTGGACTGAGAAAGTAGCAACAGCAAGGAACCAAAGTCAAACCAATTGAGGTACCAATTGCAAATGATGCAGTTTTGCTTAAGGTTGTGGGTGAACTACCCTGAAACTCCATTAGTACTTAAAGTTTGTCATGTAGGGCAAGTTTGCTCTAGATGCATCATTGGTGGGGTTCGGTGCTTGCAGATAAACTACAGCTCCCACTATGTTCGGTCAGTCCCCTCAAATCCCTCCAGTACATTGAGTTGGTCATAGGGGTTCTGTGTGCAAACTTAGGTCCAGTTCTGTCATCGATGGTAGTCAGAGTGTCTCTGGATGTAAGTGAACTACAACTCCCAGAAAGGAAGGTCAGTTCTCCTCAAACCTCTCCAGTATATTCAATTAGTCATGGGAGATTTGTGGGCTAAGTTTGATTCAGGTTCATCATTGGTGTGGGGGGGGGGGGTCACAGCTTCTCTGGTTGTAGGTGAACTATAACTCCCAAAACACAAGGCCAATCTCTCCCAAATCCCTCCAGTAATCCAATTTGAATGTATCAGGTGCATGTGCCAAGTTTGGTCCAGATACATCGGCTTTTGGGTTCACAGTGCTCTCTGGAAGTAGGTGAACTATAAATCCGATCAATCCATGCCAGAACCACCAGTATTTTTGTTGTTCATTAAAGTTCTATGTGCCAAGTTAGTTGTGTTTTGATTGCAGGTGAACTATAAATGCCAGACCTACAACCCCTCTAAAATAAGATGAATTCCTCTCCAGCCACTCCAGTATTTTGATCATGAGGGTTCTGTGTGCCAAATGTGGTCCAGGTCCATTGTTGGTGGGGGTGGAGTGCACTGTCTTGATTCAAGGTGAACTACAACTTCCATCATGTTGAGTCAGGCGCCCAAACCCCTCCAATACGAGTAGTTTCTGATCAATTCCTTTGTGTTTGCTGTGCGCCATGGAAAGAGTAGGAAACGCTTATGGAAGAGGCCGTGGGTGGGGTCATGCAAATTCCATACCAATTGAGAGAAAGAAACATTGAGATGTCTGTGGTGGAGGAAAAACATCAAATCTAGGATGATGATATTGTCCTCATATGAAAGCACTTGGGTGGTGTGCAGTGTGGTGTTTGTGGAGGACATTGGCAGAGCTTTGGGACATGTTCATGGCTCTCGCTCTAACCTGCAATGTCATTGGTGTCTCCTGAATAGTGGGAGCTATAGCTGTTTGTAGTGCTGGAGGATTTTTTTTTGTGTAAGCCAGTGTTTTTCCACCTTCCTAATGCCGCAACCCTTTAACACAGTTTCTCATGTTGTAGTGACTCCCAACCATAAAATTATTTTCATTGCTACTTCATAACTGCAATTTTGCTACTGTTATGAATCATAATGTCAGTATCTGATATGCAGGATGTATTTTCATTCACTGGACCAAATTTGGCACAAATACCCGATATTCCCAAATCTGAATAGTGGTGGGGTTGGGGATTGGTTTTGTCATTTGGAAGTTGTAGTTGCTGGGATTTAAAGTTCACCTACAATCAAAAAGCATTCTGAGCTCCACCAATGATGGAATTGAACCAAACTTGGCACACAGAACTCCCATGACCAACTGAAAATACTGGAAGGATTTGGTGGGCATTGACCTTAAGTTTTGGAGTTGTAGTTCACCTACATCCAAAGAGCACTGCAGACTCAAACAATGATGGATCTTGTCCAAACTTGGCATGAATACTCAGTGTGATGGTACTGCTGTGCCAGGAGCTCCAACTTTATTTTCTTTCATTTATCTGTTTGCAGTCATAGGGCAGGCCCCCTGTCCATCATAATTAAGCTTTGGTTCCGCCCCTTGTTCAGGGCTCTGGGAGGGAAAGGAGCCATTTTTTGGTCAGTCTCTCATAAGGAAGCTGAACTATAGGATGTAGACCAGCTCGTCCCGTAGAAAAGCTTCTTTTTCCAAGAGCATCCAGGGGAACAGAGCATCCAGGGGAACACAAGATCCGGGGAAACAGAAACAGAAATTCCAGGGAAAAGGTCCCAAGGCTCTGGCTGAGAGCTCACAGCCTCTCAGCCTCACAGCAATCAGAGGGAAAACAGCCCTGAAGTTTTCAAAGAATTCTCTGAGGGAGGACAGCACTACAGATCCACGGAACTCCATCTGAAATATTTACAAGCCTCGGCTAGTAGGTCTACTCGATATCCAGACGTATTTGGAATCGGTAGTAGGACCCACACCGATGAGGCATAGACAGTAAACAGCCTGGGAGAGGTTAAACAGGGTTTTTCATACAGAGAAAGTACAGTTAATCAAAGTCAGGTACCAGTCCATTGAGGACTAGACTCAGAAAGCCTTGAAGAGTTATTTGAACCATTGAAGATCTGTTGTTTGTTCCATAATAAAGACTTTGTTGTATCATTAAAGACTCTAAAGACCATCACTTCAGAAAAATCCCTGAGAACCTCTCTTTGAGGCTCCCTGGCTTCCCTCTGGGCTTAAAGTATACGTCCTATAGAAAAGACAGCTGTTACAGGCCCAGCGCGTGACAGAACACTCAGTGTGAACAAGGCTGGAGTTTTGGGGGAAATAGACCTTGATATTTGGGAGTTGAAGTTGCTGGAATTTATAGTTCACCTGCAATCAAAGAGCATTCTGAACCCCAACAATGATAGAATTGGGCCAAACTTTCCACACAGTATTCTCATGCCTTGAATGGAATCGCTGCTGCAAGCCTCCCTCCAGCCTCACATGCTCTCCCTCACCTGCACATGCACACCAATGTGCCGAGCATGCCTGCTCTTCCCTCCCCGCTTGGAGTCTCAGAAGCAGCCCTCCCCTTTGCTGAGAAGCCCGCCAATCACAGCAGAGGAGGGCTTTTGGTGGGAGGATTCGCTGTCTGTTTGCAAAAAGGAAGAGAAGGGCAGGCGGAGAGCTCTTCAGTCTTCTCTGCCAAAGGGGTTCCTAAGGCCATCAGAAATATATGTTTCCTGATGGTCATTGCCGACCCCTCTGAAACCCCCTCGCAACTCTCATAGGGTTCCCAAACCCCAGATTGATAAACACTGATCTAGTTTGACACTTAGCATGCAGGAAGACACAGTAAAAGCCCTCCTGATAGATAGCCATCCGGTCTCTGCTTAAATACCTGGACTCCAAGGCAGCATCAGGAAGTTTGTTTCCTAACGTTTAGATGGCATGTTCCATGCAGGATGACAACAAACTTAGAAAGTTGACAATAAAAATATTTTAATGATACAGATTTTGTTTTTAGTACAAACCATAAGATATATACCAGTGTTGGCTTACAAAATAACAATAACAACAATAATAACAACGACAACAATAGAAAGACAGCATTATAGGGGAAAGTTAATGCAGAGTTTATCATACAGAGAAAACCAAGTTGTGTTTGGCCAAGGTTTCAAGATCGGATGCTTCCCCAGGCGACATGATTATTCGTTTGGCTCTCCCCTTTTTACAGTGGGTCTGAAAAAAGGAAGGGATAATAAGGGAAAAAAAGAAGGGAAAAACAAATGAGAGAAAAAGAAGGGCTATTAGCATTCTGGAGAGAGAGAGAAAAACCCTGAGAAAACTGTACAAATCCTAGAGCTTCGTAGCCCCAAATCCCAGAGTTGCAGAATCCTAGGAGAGAAACAAGCTGCCGTCCACAAGTGGTGCATCTACACTGTGGAATTAACCCAGTTTGATACTGGTGGGACTGCTATGGAATCGAGGAAGCTGTAGAGGGCTAAAACGGAAATGCACAAAGATAGGATGGGAGAGACCTGGCTTGAAAATATGGAGACCAGGACGCAGAGCAATGGAGGTAAGATGGGAAGGTAAGATGGGAAAGCCTTTGTCTCTGTTTGTGTACTTTCCGTCTTTGTTAATTGTATAACGGCATTGAATGTTTGCTATATATGTATACTGTAATCCACCCTGAGTCCTCTCAGAGAGATAGGATGGGATATAAAGAAAGTATATTTATTATTATTATTATTATTATTATTATTATTATTATTATTAAGAGTGGAATACACTGCTTGGAGATCTGGTGGAGCCTTCTGAGCAGAGACTAGTCATCTGTCAAGAGGGATTGGATGGTGCCCTCCACCAAGGGATAAAGAGATTGGACTAGATAGCCTTTGGGGGTCTGTTCTGAACTTTAGGATTCAATGCCGGGGCCGGACTTGTGCCATGAGGAAACTGCCAACTATAGAAGATCCTGCCGACCAGAAGGTAGGCAGTTCAAGCCACGGGTCGGGGTGAGCTCTCGCCATCAGTCTAGCTTTTTTCCCCCTCCTTTTTTCTCCCCACTCCTCTTAGGATCGCTCTTCCTTTTTCCAACTTTCTAAAACATATTGTTCCCACAGTTTTGCTGCATATAGTTTTTTCCCCTTTTTAATCGTTTTATATTATTTTATTATCAACAATATGCTTTCCTATCACGCGCCACCTCTTTGTGAGCAACTTTTATTCTCAATAAAAACAAATAAATAAAAAAGAAAACAGCAACGTGAGTAGATAAATAGGTACTGCTTAGGCAGGGAGGTAAAAGGCACCCCTGAAAACATGCCGGTAAAATCCGAGGAAGGCGTCCACGGATAAAACAGACATGGAACAACAGCACCTCCCCATGGCCGAGTTGAGCACAGCCTCCAGATGCCGGAGATGAAAAGGGAGACGCCTTTGCCTCTGTCTGTGTACTGTCTGTCTTTGTTGTTAATTGCATAATGACATTGAATGTTTGCCTCTCCGTGACTGAAGTTGAGCACAGCCTCCAGATGCCGGAGATGGAAAGGGGGAAGCCTTTGCCTCTGTCTGTGTACTGTCTGTCTTTGTTGTTAATTGTGTAACGGAATTGAATGTTTGCCATATATGTATTCTGTAATCCGCTCTGAGTCCCCTCAGGGAGATAGAGCAGAATATAAATAAAGTATATTACTATTATTTTTGTTAATTCGTGTCAAACTGGGTTAACTTGACAGTGTGGATGCACCCTGGGAATGACAAAGAGGCAGTTTGGTGGCTTTTTTTGTTTGCTGCTAAGTGTCTCTTTCGGGTTTGTGGCCATGCCGGGCTCAGACGTACTCTCGGGCTGAGGGAGGCTGGGACTGGCGGTAGTAGTGCTGCCCTCGGTCTTCGGGTTTTGGGCAGGAACAGGACAGGAAGGCGCCCCCCAAAAGGCTCAGGCTGCCTGCAGACCAGCCCACAAAGAGGGCCGGCCCAAATTCGTACCTGGAGAGACAAAACGCTAGGATCAATGCAGAGCCAGAGAATGTTTTAGTTTATCGTTATATTCTTCTATTGATATTACACTACGTAAAATGATTTTCGTTCCTGGGTTATCAATGTCTTTTCCTAATTTGGTCTGTCATAAAAACATGGAAAAGGTCTATTAAACTGCAAAGAAAATTGTTTTTGTGGGAGGGACGTTCTGCAATAGCACATTTTGCTGTAGTTTGTCAATGAATATGTCATAGAGCAGGAATTCTCAAACTAAGGCCCGCGGGCCAGATGCGGTGTAAAGACTTCCTCTTCGTTGTCTGATACCCTATTCAATCTAGTATGCTGCCACCATCTGTGAGGTGCTAGGCTATGCTGCCACCAATTAATAAGGGTTTCCTATTCAGATTATTAATGGAGTCCCTTATTTTCAAATAGATTCACTGCTACCACCCTGTAGTCTTTCTTTTGGTATGTAGCGAGGTTTTTTTCCCCCCTTAACTTAGGCTTGAGTTACTAAAACAAGAAGTACTTGGAGTACTAGCCATCCCCTACCACGCGTTGCTGTGGCCCACATGGGGGTTCCGTGTGGGAGGTTTGACCCAATTCTATCATTTGCGAGCTTCAGAATGCTATGTGATTGTAGCTGAACTATAAATCCCAGCAACTACAACTCCCAAATGTCAAGATTCTATTTTCCTCAAACTCCACCAGTGTTCGCATTTGGACATATTGAGTATTTGTGTAGTGTTTGATCCAGATTCATCATTGTTTGAGTCCACATTGATCTCGGGATGTAGGTGAACTACAACTCCAAAACCAAAGGACACTGCCCACCAAACCCTTCCAGTGTTTTCTGTTGGTCATGGGAGAACTGCGTGCCAAGTTTGGTTCAATTCCATCGTTGGTGGGGTTCAGAATGCTCTTTGATTGTAGGTGAACTATAAATCCCAGCAACTACAACTCCCAAATGACAAAACCAATTTTTTGAGTGAAGGACATACATTGGGTTGTTAGGTGTCTTGTGTCCAAACTTGGTGTCAATTCCCCCAGTGGTTTTTGAGTTCTGTGAATATTACAAACATTACATTTTTATTTATATAGATGGAAAGGTCTTAATGATTTCAGAGTTCTCTTCTCCTGAGGTATAAAGCTTCACGAGTTACAATTTCAACAAATCTTAATATAACTTTAGGATGTCTTTTACTTCAGCATCCAGTTCTTTAGTTGTTACATTTCTAAATATGTTTCCTTATTTGACAGATTAACTAAGGTCAGCTAATGCCCTTGTCTCCCTCCAGCTTCCTGCTGAAGTAAAGATTCCCAGTGGGATTTCTTCTCCTATTAGCACACAGCTAAACCACAAACCTAAATAAGTCCCCTCGACTTATTCAAATCACTCCAGTTAAAAGCTTTCCCTTAGTTTGGTTCACCACACGTTTGAACCACCTTCCCTTTGGCTCGATGACCAAAGGACTGAAGCCTCAAAATTTGTCCATGTTTTTCTCAAAATAGAGTGCCCCCCCCCCCCCGCTCAACAGTCTCAGAGACAGTGAACTAGCTCTCTGCTTTAAAAGTTTGAGGACCCCTCAAAGAGTCTCAACCAATGCAATCTAGTTTGTGCCACAAAAACAAAGTTTGTGGAAGATAAAAACTAGTTTCAAAGTAAGGACTACACAATGGAACAGGAGATTACAGGAGCTGCCTTCATAGACCTGTGAGCAGCTTATGATACTGTACATCATCGCCTTCTCCTGAGAAAAATGTATAATATCACAAAGGATTGCCACCTCACCCACTTCATAGGAAACCTGCTACAAAACAGGAGCTTTTTTGTTGAGTTCCAGGGCCAGAGAAGCAGATGGCAGAAACAGAAGAACGGCCTGCCTCAGGGGAGCGTGCTTGCTCCATCCATGTTCAACTTCTACACAAATGACCAGCCACTGCCAGAAGGGACAGAGAGCTTCATCTATGCTGGTGATCGTGTCATCACCACTCAACAGGGAGCTTTGAAATGGTTGAACAGAAGCTCTCCAAAGCTCTAGGTGCTCTTACTGCCTTTTACAAGGAAAAACCAGCTGATTCATAATCCATCTAAAACGCAGATGTGTGCTTTTTACCTTGAGAACAAACAAGCATCTCGAGCTCTGAAGATTACCTGGAAAGAAATCCCACTGGAGCATTGCAGCACACACAAATACGTGGGAGTCACTCCGGACTGTATGGAGCTCCTGGTGGCGCAGTGGGTTAGACCCCTGTGCCGGCAGGACAGAAGCCCGACAGGTCACAATTTCAAATCTGGGGAGAGGCGGATGAGCTCCCTCTATCAGCTCCAGCTCCTCATGTGGGGACATGAGAGAAGCCTCCCACAAGGATGATAAAAACATCAAATCATCCGGGCGTCCCCTGGACAACGTCCTTGCAGATGGCCAATTCTCTCACACTAGAAGCGACTTGCAGTTTCTCAAGTCACTCCTGACACAACAACAACAAAAAAACTCTGGACCATGCTCTGACTTATAAGAAGCACTACTTGACTATCACGCAAAAAAATGGGTGCTAGAAACAATGTCATATGAAAGCTGACTGGCACAACCTGGGGATCACAACCAGACACAGTGAAGACATCTGTCCTTGCACTTTGCTACTCTGCTGCTGAAATGCCTGCCCAGGGTGGAACACATCTCACCACGTTAAAACAGTGGATTTGGTTCTTAATGAGAAATGATGCATTATCACAGGATATCTGCACCCTACACCGCTGGAGAAATTGTGCTGTTTAGCCAGTATTGCATCACCTGACATTTGTCAGGAAGTAGCTGCCTCTAATGAAAGGATCAAAGCATTGACAACTGTAATCCAGCCTTTGTTCGTATATCAGCCAGCATGCTAGCGTCTTCAATCAAGAAATAACTTCCTAACACCTAGAGAGGTACTTGCAGGAACACTTCAGCAAGCAAGAGTTCAAAAGTGGCAGGCTAAAACCCAGAACTTCAATCAGTAGCTGAGACCGGATGAGAAACTCCCTCCTGGGCACACAGAGGCCTGGGCGACTTGGAAGGTACTGAACAGACTGCGCTCTGGCACCACGAGATGCAGAGCCAACCTTAAGAAATGGGACCACAAAGTGGAGTCCATGACATGCAAGTGCGGAGAAGAGCAAACTACAGACCACCTATCACAATGCAACCGGAGCACTGCCACATGCACAATGGAGGACCTTCTCACAGTGACACCAGAGGCAATCCAAGTGGCCAGCTTCTGGTCAAGGGGCATTTAGTACAATGCCAAGTTTTTAACTTTGTGTTTTTTCTATATATTATAACTGTATTCTCAATTCCCTTTTGATGTGATAAATATTGTATATGCTTGAGTATAAGCCTAGTTTTTCAGCCCTTTTTTTAGGCTGAAAAAGTCCTCCTCGGCTTATACTCGAGTCAAGGTTATTTATTATTTTCCTGTTATTGTTATTATTTTTATTACATTTATAATTTTACTCTATTATTATTACATTTATTATTTTACTCTATTTATTATTGTTATTATTACATTTATAATTTTACGATACTGTTATTATTAATTTCCATTATTTTACTCGTATTATTATTATTATTATTATTACATTTACTATTTTACTCTCTTTATTATTATTGGAAGGATACGTAAGCACATTTACATTGAAGAAGGTTAGAATAATGATTTAATCAGAGCTGGGCAGTCATATCTTAGATTACAGCTTTATGTAAATATTCAAAAACATTTAATCTACTGATGCCTCAATTAATGTAATTTTATTGGTATCTATGTTTATTTTGAAATTTACCAGTAGCTGCTGCATTTCCCACCCTCGGCTTATACTCAAGTCAATACGTTTTCCCAGTTTTTGTGATATTTGGCTTATACTTGAGTACATACGGTAAATAAATAAATTTTGTTATTATATTATTTTTATATATGATTATTGAATCATATTATGATATTATCATTGTATTATTATATTTTTATTATTAGTTTATCATTTTATTATTATGGTTATTGTTTGGTTATTTCATGATTATTAAATCATATTATTATATTAAAATTACATCATTATTATTATTATTATTATTATTATTATTATTATATTAGTAGTCAAAGTAGAATCCCAGTTCATCAGAACTCAAGCAACCAGCAACAATATTGTAGAACTAATATTTAAATTAAAAAATTAAAATAAAATGAATTTGAAGCAGAAGCATGACACTGACGTTAATAAGTCTTTATTTATCTTCATTTTAGTGATTGCATTTGAATATTACTACATTAATCTGGCATCTACCAATCCCCGTGGGTCCCAGTTAACTGAGAATCTACTTCATTAGTAGCAGTAGCAGTAGTAGTAGTAGTAGTAGTAGTAATATTTGGTCAAATGCTTTCATGGCCGGAATCACTGGGTTGTTGTGTGTTTTAATAATACATAATAAAACTTTATTTGTACCCTGCTACCATCTCCCCAAGGGACTCGGTGCGGCTTACACAGCACATCAATAAAAAAAGACAATAACAAATAATCGATACAAACAGTTAAAATAAAACTCAAAAACAAAAATACACAATAAGCAATAAAACAATAACAATAACATACAGCATTTTAAAAACTATAGCTGGGCCAAATGTAATAATTAAAATTGAAAAATGCTAGGCATGAACAAGGTAGGGTTTTCAGAGAAAGAAGAGGGCGCGCAGACAATCCTAATCAATATTAAAGTGCGTTTAGGGACATATTGCAAGAGTTTTCCTTATTCTGGGAAGGCACACTGGAACAACCACATTTTCAGGTTCCTCCTAAAGACTGACAGCGTTAGGGCATGTCTGATGTCCTTGGGGAGTGAATTCCAGAGTCGAGGGGCCACCACCGAGAAGGCCCTCTCCCTCGTCCCCACCAATCGTGCCTGTGAAGGAGGTGGGAGCGTGAGCAGCGCCTCTCCAGATGATCGAAGAGATCGTGTGGGTCCGTACACAGAGATGCGGTCACGCAGGTAGGCGGGTCCCAAACCTTTTAGGGCTTTGTAGGAACCCTGAATTGGGACCGGAAAATGAACGGCAGCCAGTGGAGCTCCTTAAACAGGAGGGTTGACCGCTCCCTGTAAGGAGCACCTGTTAGTAACCTGGCTGCCACCCATTGTACCAACTAAAAATTCCGGGCCGTTTTCAAGGGCAGCCCCACATAGAGTGCATTACAGTAATCCAATCTGGAGGTGACCACCCTGGCCAGATCCGACTTCACGAGGTACAGTTGCAGTTGGCGCACGAGTCTCAATTGTGCAAAGGCCCTCCCGGCCACCGCCAACGCCTGAGCTTCAAGCGTAAGTGATGAGTCCAGGAGGACACCCAAGCTGTGGACCTGTGACTTCAGGGGGAGTGCATCCCCGTCCAGCACTGGTTGCCACCCTATACCCCGATCCAGTTTACGATCGACCAGGAGGACCTCTGCCTTGTCGGGATTGATCCTCAGCTTGTTCTTCCTCATCCAGACAGCCACAGCGGCCAGGCACTCGTCCAGCACCCGAGGGGCTTCCTTGGAGTTGGGTAGAAAGGAGTAGTAGAGTTGTGTGTCATCTGCAACTCCAAAACTCTGGATGACCTTTCCCAGCAGTTTCATGTAGATGTTGAAAAGCATGGGAGACAGAATGGAGCCTTGCGGGACCCCACGGGTCAAAGGCCAGGGGTCCGAGCAGGTGTCACCCAGCTTCACCATCTGGGAGCGACCCTCCAGGAAGGACCAGGGCCACGACAAAGCCGTGCCCTCAAGGCCCATCCCGGAGAGTCATCCCAGAAGGATCCCATGATCGATGGTATCGAAAGCCGCTGAGATGTCCAAGAGAACCAATAATAATGTTCCGGGCAATAATAATGTTTCTTCTGCTCTTGATGTTCTCAATTTCTCCACTAGGGGAGCCTCCAACTCTGTGCCTTTTTAGACACTCATAATACATATTATATGATCGCTGTTTTCCGGGCTGTCTGACATGTTCCAGAAGCATTCTTTCCTGACGTTTTGCCCACATCTATAGCAGGCATCCTGTTGGAAACTAGGAAAATTGGGTTTATATATCTGTGGAATAATGTCCAGGGTGAGAGAAAGAACTCTGGTCTGCTTTCATTAGCACTGAATGGCCTTGCAGCTATAAAGCCTGGCTGATTGCTGCCTAGTGGAATCCTATGTTGGGAGGTGTTAGTTGGCCCTGATTGTTTCCTGTCTAGAATTCCCCTGAGAAGTGAGCCGTAGCAGAGCACCTGATGAACCAACCTGGACACAGCGTATGATTCTGGACCACTTTCACAACTTCCATGTCAGGCTACGCAGAGAAGCCATTGAAACCCACAAGAAGCATGTGGACAATTTCAACAGGAGGAAATCATGAAAATGAACAAAATCTGGCTACCAGGATTTTTTAAAAAACTCTACAATCCGGACAGTAAATAAAGAGCAACACTCAAAAAGCAGGGGAATTCCAGACAGAAAACAATCAGGCCAGCTAACACCTCCCAACAAAGGATTTCCCCCAGACAGGAAGCAGACTGGCTTTGAAGCTGCAAGGCCATTCAATGCTTATCAAAGCGGTTAATTGCAACATTCACACTTGTCTCAGGCAGACAAGTGTGAAATTATTCCACAGATATATAAACCTCATTTTCCTAGTTTCTAATGGATCTCACAACCTCTGAGGATACCTGCCATAGATGCAGGTGAAACATCAGGAGAGAATGCTTCTGGAACATGGCCAGACAGCCCGGAGAACTCACAGCAACCCAGTGATTCTGGCCACGAAAGCTTTCAACAACACATATATTACTATGTATTAAAATAATATATAAATATAATAAAATAAAATTATTATATCTTGGGGATCCTAATGGTAATAATAATAACAATTCCCAATAATGTAGAATGGTTGTAAATTCTCCCTCTTTGTGGATCTCAATGTTAATAAATAATAATAATAATAATAATAATAATAAATAATGATGATGATAAATAATGATTAATAATTAATTATAAATAATAATAATAAAATAATGATAATAATAATAATTATTAATAATAATAAATGACAATAATAATAATAATAATGACAACAACAATAATAATAAATGATGAATAATGATGAATAATAATTAATGATAATAAATAATGATAACAATAATTAAATAATGATAATAATGATTAATAATAATAATAAATGACAATAATAATAAATAATGACAACAACAATAAAAATGATGATGATGATTATAAATAATGATTAATATTAATTAATGATAATAAATAATGATGATAATAATTAAATAATGATAATAATGATTAATAATAATAATGTATTGTCGAAGGCTTTCATGGCCAGAATCACTGGGTTGTAGGTTTTTTCAGCTATATGGCCATGTTCTAAAGGCATTTTCTCCTGACGTTTCGCCTGCATCTATAGCAAGCATCCTATGCTTGCCATAGATGCAGGCGAAATGTTAGGAGAAAATGCCTTTAGAACATGGCCATATAACCCGAAAAAACCTACAACAACCCAATAATAATAATAATAATAATAATAATAATAATAATAATAATAAATAGAATCATACAGTTGGAAGAGATCTTTTGGGCCATCCAGTCCAACCCCATTCTGCCAAGAAGCAGGAAAATTGCATTCAAAGCACCCCTGACTGATGGCCAGCCAGCCTCTGTTTAAAAGCTTCCAAAGAAGGGGCCCCCACCACACTCCGGGGCAGAGAGTTCCACTGCTGAACGGCTCTCACAGTCTGGAAGTTCTTCCTAGTGTTCAGACAATAATAATAATAATAATAATAATAATAATAATAATAATACCTGGCATTAACTGGCGTGCTGGGATTGAAGAATTCATAGGTCACCCTTGCCGCATACCACGAAATTGCAGTCATGGTGCACATCCCTAAGAAAGAAAGTCGGAGTGAGCCATCCTTCCAAGTTCCTCTCTTACAATGATGGGTGGCATCTACACTGGAGAATTAATGCGAGTTGAGACCACTTTAACCGCCTCGTTTTTATTTCCCTCCATCTGACAATCCTTGCTATGTCCTCTGGCGCAACTCAACAGCATGCTTCCACCGAACGCCTTTGGTCTACAGGGACCCTCTCTTAGACGCAGTATTGCACCTCATGGGAAAACCTTGAGATGGAACAGGATCTCCCCAAGGTTTGGCTCACCTGCCAAGAGGAAGAAGACACCCCCCAAAACTGCAATCCAGCCCTTGGCCACCGGGTTCTCATCCCCAACTTTGGTGCATTTCATGCCAATGACGCTGACCACGACGCCCACGAAGCCCAGGAGGATGGAGACCACCATGAGGGCCCTGGACGTCTGGAGGTGGACTGGAAGACACAACGACAAAAACAATAGCATATCACCCACCTGATGCAGTCTGCACCACCTGCGCCCTCTCCCCTGGCAGGGTCACCGGCACAAGTGTCTTTCCTGATCGTATAATACGGCATGGCGTTGACATAAATGCCCTCTGCCCATGCTCAGAGGGCTCCCAGATCAGAAAGATGGTCACCAGCGCAATCCCTGCAGTGTGCATGGCCAAAATGTGCTCTGTCCATGCTCAGAGGGCTCCCTGATCATGATAAAGGCTTCCTCCTTCCCAAAGATTCCTCTCCCCGCAATGCCAATGGCAGTCAATGCGCTCTGCCCATGCTTAGAGGGCTCCCAAGTTATGGAAATGGATCCCTCCTTCCCAAAGACTCCCCCCCACTGCAATGTCAATGGCAAGGAATGCACTCTACCCATGCTCAGAGGGCTCCCAGATCAGAAGGATGGTCACCAGCGCCATCCCCGCAGTGCACATGGCCAAAATGTGCTCTCTCCATGCTCAGAGGGCTCCCAGGTTATGAAAAAGGCTTCCTCCTTCCCAAAGACTCCCCCCCCCCTTGCAATGCCAATGGCAAGAAATGCACTCTGCCCGTGCTCAGACAGCTCCCAGGTTTTAAAAAAGGCTTGCTCCTTCCCAAACTCTTCTCCCTGCAATGCCAGTGGCAAGGAATGCACTCTGCCCATGCTCAGAGGGCTCCCAGGTTATGAAAAAGGCTCCCTCCTTCCCAAAGACTTTTCCTCCCACAATGCCAATGGCAAGGAATGCACTCTACCCATTCTCAGAGGACTCCCAGATCAGAAAGATGGTCACCAGCGCCATCCCATGCCCATCCCCGCAGTATGCATGGCCAAAACGTGCTCTGTCCATGCTCAGAGGGCTCCCTGATCATGATAAAGGCTTCCTCCTTCCCAAAAATTCTTCTCCCCGCAGTGCCAATGGCCATCAATGCACTCTGCCCATGCTCAGAGGGCTCCGAGATCAGAAAGATGGTCACCAGTGCCATCCCATGCCCATCCCTGCAGTGTGCATGGCCAAAACATGCTCTGTCCATGCTCAGAGGGCTCCTAGGTTATGAAAAAGGCTCCCTCTTTCCCAAAGACTTTCCCCCCCGCAATGCCAATGGCAATCAATGCGCTCTGCCCATGCTCAGAGGGCTCCCTGATCATGATAAAGGCTTCCTCCTTCCCAAAAATTCTTCTCCCCGCAATGCCAATGGCCATCAATGCGCTCTGCCCATGCTCAGAGGGCTCCCAGGTTATGAAAAAGGCTCCCTCCTTCCCAAAGACTTTTCCTCCCACAATATCAATGCCAAGGAATGCACTCTACCCATGCACAGAGGACTCCCAGATTATGAAAAAGGCTCCCTCCTTCCCAAAGACTTTCTCCCCTGCAATGCCACTGACAAGAAATGCACTCTGCCCATGCTCAGAGGGCTCCCAAGTTATGAAAAAGGCTCCCTCCTTCCCAAACTCTTCTCCCTGCAATGCCAATGGCAAGAAATGCACTCTGCACCTTCTCAGAGAGTCCCCCCCCCCGCCCAAGCGTGCCCCTGCCCTCTGCCCATGCCCAGAGGGCGCACCGTCGAGGGAGAGGAGGGAGTCGTGGAGGCGGCACTGGACCTGCCCGGTGCTTTGGGAGGCGCAGCTCATCCAGAGCCCCTCGTAGAGCCCCACGGCGGTGATGATGGCGTCGCCCGCGTAGGAGCTCTGCTTCCACTGGGGCAAGGCGGCCGCGCAGATGGCGCCCACCCAGCCCCCCAGCGCCAGGAAGTAGCCCCCCAGCTCCAGCCCCGCGCCCCCCATCGCCCGCCCCGCACCGCAGCCCGAGCCCCGTCAGGAAGCCCTCCAGCAGCACCAGGAGCAGCAGGAGGAGGAGGAGGAGGAGCCCTTGGGCAGGCAGGCAGGGAGAGGGGGAGGGAGGGAGGGGCCCCAGTCCAACCCCTCCTTCCATTGGCATGAGAAGGGACCCCAAAGGACATCCAGTCCAACCCCTTCGTCCCTTGACATTTGTCCGCTTGTCTTCCCAAGGGATTTGCAGCACTGATGGAACTCCATCACACTACGTTGGAAAGAACTCTACCAAAGTTTCCTGAATTGCAGCTCCAATGTGGCCGAAGAGGTTCTCTCACAAATCCTGCAACAACAAACCAAGGATGAGCTTGCAGCACTGCCTAGTTTGGAAGAAGTCAGCAATGCCATCAGCCAACAGAAGAATAACAAAGCCAGCGGACCTGATGGGATCCCTACTGAAATCTTTAAAGGACCTGAGCCAATACAACAACACCAGCTCATAGGGGAAAAAAAGTATAGAACATAGAAATAGAAGGGATCCCCCCCCCCCCCCAGTCCAAGCCCATTTGCCATTGGAATGAGAAGGGGTCCCCAAAGGACATCCAGTCCAACCCCTTCTGCCATTGGAATGAGAAGGGGTCCCCAAAGGACATCCAGTCCAACCCCTTCTGCCATTGGAATGAGAAGGTGTCCCCAAAGGACATCCAGTCCAACCCCTTCTGCCATTGGAATGAGAAGGGTCCCCAAAGGACATCCAGTCCAACCCCTTCTGCCATTGGAATGAGAAGGGGTCCCCAAAGGACATCCAGTCCAACCCCTTCTGCCATTGGAATGAGAAGGGGTCCCCAAAGGACATCCAGTCCAACCCCTTCTGCCATTGGAATGAGAAGGGGTCCCCAAAGGACATCCAGTCCAACCCCTTCTGCCACTGGAATGAGAAGGTGTCCCCAAAGGACATCCAGTCCAACCCCTTCTGCCACTGGAATGAGAAGGGGTCCCCAAAGGACATCCAGTCCAACCCCTTCTGCCACTGGAATGAGAAGGGGTCCCCAAAGGACATCCAGTCCAACCCCTTCTGCCACTGGAATGAGAAGGGGTCCCCAAAGGACATCCAGTCCAGCCCCTTCATCCCTTGACATTTGTCCGCTTGCCTTCCCAAGAGATTTGCAGCACTGATGGAACTCCATCACACTACGTTGGAAAGAACACTACCAAAGTCTCCTGAATCGCAGCTCCAATGTGGCCAAAGAGGTTCTCTCACAAATCCCGCAACAACAAACCAAGGATGAGCTTGCAGCACTGCCTAGTCTGGAAGAAGTCAGCAATGCCATCAGCCAACAGAAGAATAACAAAGCCAGCGGACCTGATGGGATCCCTACTGAAATCTTTAAAGGACTTGAGCCAATACGACAACACCAGCTCATAGGGGGAAAAAAGTATAGAACATAGAAATAGAAGGGACTCCCCCCCCCCCCCACAGTCCAAGCCCATTTGCCATTAGAATGAAGAGGGTCCCCAAGGGTCATCCAGTCCAACCCCTTCTGCCATTGGAAGAGTTACAGAATTATAGAAGTAGAAGGGGTCCCCAAAGGTCATCCAGTCCAGCCCCTTCTGCCATTGGAATGAGAAAGGGTCCCCAAAGGACATCCAGTCCAACCCCTTCTGCCATTGGAATGAGAAGGGGTCCCCAAAGGACATCCAGTCCAACCCCTTCTGCCATTGGAATGAGAAGGGGTCCCCAAAGGACATCCAGTCTAACCCCTTCTGCCACTGGAATGAGAAGGGTCCCCAAAGGACATCCAGTCCAACCCCTTCTGCCACTGGAATGAGAAGGGTCCCCAAAGGACATCCAGTCCAGCCCCTTCATCCCTTGGGAGAGTGATAGAATTCTGGAATGTGAAGGGACCCCCAAAGGACATCCAGTCCAGCCCCTTCTGCCATTGGAAGAATTATACAATTATAGAAGTAAAAGGGGACTCCAAAGATCATCCAGGCCAACCCCTTCTGCCATCAGAATGAGACGGGACCCCCAAAGGTCATCCAGGCCAACCCCTTCTGCCAATGGAATGAGAAGGGACCCCAAATGACATCCAGTCCAACCCCCTCTGCCATTAGAAGAGTTATAAAACAGTTAGTTAGGCGATCCTTCATTGTCCAAGTAGGATAATCTTCCGAGATCAGTGTACTGTTGGGTCCGTAGGTGACTTTGGAGTCCTATTCTTGACCTGCATCTTCTCCCATACTGAGGGTATTGGTTTCCAGGTGGAAGATGGTCCCAGTCGGGGTTCCTCTTGGCACATTTCTCTCTTTCACCCTCCATTCGTGCCTCTTCCAATTCTGCAGCACTGCTGGTCACAGCTGACCTCCAACTAGAGCGCTCAAGGGCCAGGCCTTCCCAGTTCTCAGTGTCTATGCCAGAGTTTTTAAGGTTGGCTTTGAGTCCATTTTTCAATTTCTTTTCCTGCCCACCAACATTCCATTTTCCGTTCTTGAGTTTGGAGTAGAGCAACTGCTTTGGGAGACGGTGGTCAGGCATTTGGACAACGTGGCTGGTCCAGCGTTGATGGCGGAGGACCATCGCTTCAATGCTGGTGGTCTTTGCTTCTTCCAGCACGCTGACATTTGTCCACTTGTCTTCCCAAGAGATTTGCAGCACTGATGGAAATCCATTACACTACGTTGGAAAGAACACTACCAAAGTCTCCTGAATTGCAGCTCCAATGTGGCCAAAGAGGTTCTCTCACAAATCCCGCAACAACAAACCAAGGATGAGTTTGCAGCACTGCCTAGTTTGGAAAAAGTCAGCAATGCCATCAGCTAACAAAAAAATAACAAAACCAGCGGACCTGATGGGATCCCTACTGAAATCTTTATAGGACCTGAGCCGATACAACAACTCCAGAAGCTCATAGGGAAAAAAGTATAGAACATAGAATTTGAAGGGAACCCCCTCCCCAGTCCAAGCCCATTTGCCATTAGAATGAAGAGGGTCCCCAAGGGTCATCCAGTCCAACCCCTTCTGCCATTGGAAGAGTTACAGAATTATAGAAGTAGAAGGGGTCCCCAAAGGTCATCCAGTCCAACCCCTTCTGCCATTGGAATGAGAAGGGGTCCCCAAAGGTCATCCAGTCCAACCCCTTCTGCCATTGGAAGAGTTACAGAATTATAGAAGTAGAAGGGGTCCTCAAAGGTCATCCAGTCCAACCCCTTCTGCCACTGGAATGTGAAGGGGTCCCCAAAGGACATCCAGTCCAACCCCTTCTGCCATTGGAATGAGAAGGGGTCCCCAAAGGACATCCAGTCCAACCTCTTCATCCCTTAGGAGAGTGATAGAATTGCAGAATGAGAAGGGAGCCCCAAAAGTCATCCGGTTCAACCCCTTCTGCCATTGGAATGAGAAGGGACGTCCAAAGGACATCCAGTCCAGCCCCTTCTGCCATTGGAAGCTTTATAGAATTATAGAATTAATAATAACAATAAATAGTGCTGAGGATAAATAAATTATTATTATTAATATATTAATAATGATAAAAAATACATTAATAACTATTAATAAGAGTAAACAATAAAAATTGTGTTAATAAATACCAAAAATGATGATGATAATAATAATAAATTATTATTAACAATAAACAATAAATTATTATTATAATTAATAAAAATAATAATGGATTATAATTATTATTAATAATGCATTAAGAATGATTAATAATAATAATAATAATAATAATAATAATAATAAATATAGGTTGAGAGGTGGTGTGTGCATTGGAGTATGACTGTAGAGACCAAGGTTCAAATCTCCGTATCGCCCTTGATAAGTAACACTCTCTCAGAATACATCACAGCACAAAAATCCCGCGCTGGGCTTCCTTGGCACGATTTCGTTCCGAAACCTGAGAGTGCCATTTCCCAACCGCTTTGGGCAGGAACGCTTTGCCCTTGTTCTCTCCAAATATTTTTAAAAGCAGGAGGCGGGAGGATTGCATTCTTTCTCCCCCAATTTGCACACACATATTTGCACCAGGGAGAAGGAGGCCAAAGAGGCTCCTAAGCATCCTCCGGTGTCAATGTGGCCTCTTGTTGACAAAGGCAGCCCACCCAAATGCCAGCGCAAATGCCAGGCGGCCCCCGCAAGGCCGCACATGCTACAACACAAAGGCTGCTTTGGGTGGAAGGGAAGGAGAGCTAAAAGGTTAGCAGCCCGCATTAGCATGCAGCTCAGGCCAAAGGGCCGGAGCCGGAGGCAAAGAGTGGGGAAAGGGCAGGTTTTTGGGTCAAACCGTCCCAATGGCCTCGTGTCCTGCAGCAGCCAAATCACATTCTGGACCAATCCAATCTCTCCTAGAATTGTCTTTATTTTTCATGGGAATACAGTTATAATGTATAGAAAAACCACAAACAAAGTTTAAAAGTTGGCATTATATTATCCTTTGACCAGAAGCTGGCCACGTGGAGTGCCTCTGGTGTCGCTGTAAGAAGGTCCTCCATTGTGCATGTGGCAGGGCTCAGGCTGCATTGTACTCTGTGGTCTGTGGTTTGCTCTTCCCTGCAATCACATGTCGTGGACTCCACTTTGTGGCCCCATTTCTTAAGGTTGGCTGTGCATCTCGTAATGCTGGAGCGCAGCCTGTTCAGTACCTTCCAAGTCAATCTCTCTTCTGTGTGCCCAGGAGGGAGTCTCTCATCCAGTCTCAGCCATGGCTTGAGGTTTCAGGTTTTAGCCTACCACTTTTGGACTCTCATTTGCTCCCACTGGAGCATTGCAGCGCACCCAAATACCTGGGAATCACTTTGGACTGTGCCCTGACCTACAAGAAGCACTGCCTGAATATCAAGCAAAAAGTGGGTGCTAGAAACAATATCATACGAAAGCTGACTGGCACAACCTGGGGATCACAACCAGACACAGTGAAGACATCTGCCCTTGCACTGTGCTACTCTGCTGCTGAGTATGCATGCCCAGTGTGGAACACATCTCACCATGCAAAAACAGTGGATGTGGCTCTTAA